AATAAAAAATAGTGTTAAAAAATAAAATATATTATTAATTTATTAAAAAATAAAGTACATATTTATTATATTAAAGTTAACAATAATTATGCTAATATTATAATATTAGACAAATAAAATAATAAATATATGTTGCATTTATTATTTTTTGAATTTTTATTTTGAATTGTGTATTTATAAGTAAAATAAAGGTATAATAGTAAATTAATATTAAGATTATGAATGAGAGTCTCAATCCCAATGAGGGGCATGGGAATACCAATCTCATTCTTTAATCTTAAATTTGAGTATGACCCACTAATCTCACTCTCATTTCAAAATAAAAAATAAAATAAATAAATATGAAATTGACTATTATTCTTTACCCTCATTCTTTAAATCTCGGTAAGTAAACATACCAATAGTGTGAACCAACAACTGAATACCATTTCCCACGATCATTTTTACTGTAAGGAATGCTTGGCATAAGAAAGTCGTTTCAAAATGAGGGAACAAAACAGCTGGCACTCGTGCAGCTTTCTTAAGCTGCTTTATACACTCAAACTGCATATTAATTGTCTTTATGACCCTTTTTAACTTCCATCGTCGCCTTTATTGTATATCTATATCTTGACAGTAGCGGTAAGGGATATGGCTTTATGTTTCTTTTCCTTATTGTTCAAAAGGTTCTATCTTCGTATGTGTATTGATTTTTTTTTTTTTTTTTTAAATTGTCGTGTATTGAGTGTTAAGAAATAATGACATTTTGTTTGATGTGCGAATTGTTGATTAGAGCGTAATAGATTCCTTTTCTTCCCTAGTCAATAGATTCCGTGAGTTACGTCACTCTATTTTTCTCCTTTTTTATTCGACAAAAATAAAAATAATAAATTACCCTAATGCTTCCTAATTGAGGTCAAAATTACAATAACATTTTTTTGAACAAATTTAATAAGAGTGACTTCCACTCAACAACCCAATATATTTATAGATTATTAGCATTATTTGTCCTTGAATTATAAGTATTGTGAAATCACATCTATATCATATAATAACGGAAAGATTTTGCATAAGTAGCTACACTTAGTGTAAAATGTTCTAATTTTTAATGGTTTTTAAAAGTTACGATGAGAACATTTTACAGATAATATAAATATTTTTATCAAAATTTTATCATTATCACGCTATATTAAACACATAATTACTTATATTAATTTCAGACATCCTTCCTCAATTTTAATAGCCTAAATAAAAATGATAAAAAAAAATTTATGGAGTAGTTTCTAAAAAAATAAATAAAAAAAGAAGTTCAGAGAGTAAAGTTTAATGATGCACAAAATTTCCTATGTTTATGTATTAAATGTTTTCCATAAACCTATCTACACATTTGTTGACGGTGTTTTTCCGACAACTCGTGATTATCTCTTCCAAAAACACTCACGGTTCGATTAGAGATTGAAGACTGAAAAATAAGACAAAGGAGACAACAATTTTATAGTGGTTCGGCAATAATTCTTTGCTTAATCCACTTGTGCATGCACTAATCTTTCAACCGGTTACAAGCTCTCTTTCTTTAGTAATTGAAATGGCGTCTACTCCTTTTTTGGGTTTTCTTGGCTCTATTTATAGGTCTTTACATGTAAATACGTATTCCCCGTTCCCAATGAATAAGCCATCTTTTGCCCTCGATCCGCGTGAGGATAGGTGGGTTTTCATGATGACTGCTCTGGGAAACGCGGCTGATCCTTCCTATCTGCCGCCTGATTTCCTGACTCCTGCAGTAGCAGTCGGATCAATACTTCTCTCTTCGAGTTAACAAGACCGTGGCTGGATTTGACTGGATTGCTTCCGGTCTGATCTAATTCCTGACTCCTCAACACAAAGGCTTCAAAGGGCTTTTAGTAAACTTCTCGACTTCAACGACGCAAAGGCCTTGAGAGGACCTTAAGCACTTCTCGACTCTAACACCTTGACTCATCGACGCACAGGCTTCAAAGGGCTTTTAGTAGACTTATCGACTTCAACGATGCAAAGGCCTTAAGAGGACCTTAAGCACTCTCGACTCCAAGAGCGCAAATGCCTTGAGAGGACCTTAAGCACTTCTCGACTCCAAGAGCGCTCCTCAACCTAGAGACATCTTCCTAACTGTTAGTTCTCGACATCAGGGATTTGTCCTGACTTTTGGAGCTCTTGACACGTACGACAAAAGTGGGTGGCTTGAATGGTCGACCATAGTGTAACAACATTGGTATTTTTCATTCTTCTTCCTCCGCTCTCCCACTACGTTTAACAAGGTTATAAATGTATCGTTTTTTTCCCCTTTTGAATAAATTATTTAGAAAATTAAGCACTAGTTTCAGGAAAACATTAGGGTCTCATTCATTTTACCGATTTGAGTTTTTAATTTTAAATTTTTACAGTTAAAAACTCTCAAAAAATGTCACATCTAACTTTTTTTATTATAATTTAAAACTTTAAAAAAATAATCACATTTTAACTCAAATTAAAAATTTAAATTCACCAAAGGCCTAAATTACAAAGAATCACAGGAATAAAGTGAAGCACTTTTGTTTTCATGTGAGACTATTCAAAACAAACATCAGTCTAGTGTTTGACCTCAAATTAATGTCATGAAACCTCTTTATCATGCAAGTTTTCAATCAGAATAAAAGCAATAATTAAAATCGAGCCAAATTTTTTTTTTGAAAATTTAGATTAAAAAAACATGCAGAAAAATTTTAAGCCTGACAAAGAGTGCACTCTTGTAGAGGAAATTCCCATTCTTGGTTGGTTCCCTCCGAAGTGACAGCTCAGCTTCAGGCCCTGCCCATTTGGCTCTCTCTCGTTTTTTAGCTTTCATTTATTCTTTTTATTATTATCATTATTATTCCTCTTTCACGTCTTATCAGAAATTTCAGAAATCCCTCATATTTGGGCGTAGTCAAAGACAGTAATATCATAAAGACGAAAACAACCTCACACCAACCTCAAAACCTCTGCAATATTTGGAAGAGGCCACATACACTTGCAGTCTTGTCTGTTCATTTCAGTATTAATTGTAGTTTGGTTCTTTCGAGGGCATTCTCGTCAGTTAGTGTAATTTTATGATGGTCATGGGCCCAAGATCATGGATGTTGGTCAGTTGCTTACCTTACCCAATTGTACCTTTGTAGAGATTCGGGGGCCCAATATTAATGACGCAATCAAATCAGACTTTTGCTATTGTATCCCCTTATGTCCTTATATCAGGGATGAAAATGTAAAGAGAAATAAGTAAGGGGATGCAAATGAAAAAGAAGAAAATAGCGATAAGCAAAGCCCAAAAGGAACTAATCTTTTACCGAAAAAAAAAAAAAAAAAAAGTCCCAAGTCCCAACAGTTACCTTTTGTCCTATTGAAAATTAAAAATATTTGAGTTCCAATTATTGTCTCTGATAACTCTTAAATATTGGTCCACTAATTAGCTTATCAAACATGTGAACCTAAAAGGAAAACAAACACTTTTTGTTTTTTACTTTATAGAAAACAAAGCATTTTGAAACACTAAAGTTTTTTTTTTTTTTTTTTTTTTTTTTTTTTTTTTTTTTTTTTTTTTAAAATAATGCATTAAAGTTATTTTTTAGTTGAACTTATTCTCCATATTGCCAATTCATTTAGAATATTTTATGTAAGTCGTGATTTTAATAATTTGTTCTTGTCCTGTTTAGAACTCTCTTTTGTACCTTAAAGTTTTTGCCTTTGCTTTTCAGTGGGCAAGGAATTCTATAATTAATTATATCAACACAAAGGAAACCAAACCCCTAAAAAAAAAAGAAAAAAAAATACAAATGAAGTACATATAAACTTCGTATATCTTTTCTTTCCGTTTTTCTCAATATTCCTCCATTGTTATTATGGGTCAGTAATGGCTTAGATGCTTAAGCAATCATAATGCAGCGCTCAGACCTAGTAAAAATGTTTATAATTTTACCCCTGTAGTAGTAGTAATCTATGATGTATACACCTCGAGCTTAGACATAAACACATTATATATAGAGCATACTTGATACTGCAAACCAGGAAAAAAAAAAAAGATGCCTTAAATCCATCATTCGACAAATTTTATATTTTTCAATGCTACGAAATTCTTTTAAAAAGGGTATTAAAGTTGCGGCTATACATTAAATAAACAAGAAAAACAATAAATATACCAATATGAAAATCATCATGCTAATAGCTACAAAGTGGTATGAGAATCTTCCCTCACATCACATGCTACTAAGAACGACATTCATCCATAGTGCGAAACCCACCAAGAAAAAGAGCTAAGATTTTCTTTTGCTTTCTCTATTTTTATTTTTATGTTTCCTACGCCTAGAATTTAGAAAAATAGAGGCGGAGGGGACAAGAGGGCCAAATACCTATGTATTCCTTATTACGCAAAAGAAACAAAAATAAGGGATAATTTTGGTTTTTTAAAGAAATTTATGAGAGGTTTATAAGAAATTTTTACATACTACATTAGAATCGTTTAAAATTAAAAAAAAAAAAACATTTACATTATGTAACATATATTTTAAGAATTATTATTGCTAGTAAAGTAATGTTTTTTTACCTTGATATAGCATTATTTTAAAAACAAATATAAAGATTCTAGCAAATATATAAATAGTATAAATTGTCGAAAAATAGAAAGATATAATGAGACAAGAGCCGTATTTTCTGGACTACGCAACAATAGGGTGCTTTTTCGCTTTTTTAGCTATAGTAGGAAGGAAGGTGTAGATTAGGCGGAAAAGATTACAAGCGTGCAAACTTTTAAATTTCAACCAATATTTGGGTCCAAAATACAAATAGTAGAGAATAACTCTGAGCTCCGAAGGGGTTCCTCTGCAAAACAAGCACAGAAATACCGTTGCGGGAAAGAGTGCCCTCTCTCCCTCTGACACATAACTTCTTTCCCCCCTCTCTCTCTCTCTCTCTCTCTCCATGGCTATTTTTCGTACGTCCCTCCCTCATATTCTGTACTGTGTAACGAGTAATGGAAGTTGTTATTAAGCCAATAATTTCTTATACCCATTTCCCGGTTCTTCTTCTTCAGCCTTAAACCGTTTCTCTCTCTATGTTCTCTCTCTTTCCTGTCATGGCGTTTAAGCTTCTGTTTCTTCTTCACCTTCAGCTTCTGTTCTGTTCCAACTCCGCCATTGGAGACCAGAACGAAGCTAAGCAAGAAACCGAAGCCCTTCTTTCCTTCAAAGCCTCCCTCACAAACCCACACCCTCTTTCCTCATGGAACCTCTCGACCCCCCACTGCAGCGGCTGGCTCGGCGTCTCCTGCCGGCTCGGCCGAGTCGGCTCTCTCTCTCTCTCTACTCTCTCTCTAAAAGGCACGCTCCTTCCTTCCATTTTCTCTCTCACCGGCCTCACTCACCTCGACCTCTCGTCGAACCTTCTTCACGGAGAAATCCCGCCTGAGATTCTCGGCCTGAAAAACCTCAGGAACCTCTTCCTCGGCGGCAACCAGTTCTCCGGCGAGATACCGAGTCAGTTGGGCGACCTGACTCGGCTCGAGACTCTTGACCTCTCTGGTAATGCTCTGACTGGAAATGTGCCTGCCCAGGTTGGGAACTTGACGAAGCTTCTGTTCTTCGACCTCAGCAACAACCTTCTCTCAGGTTCTATCCCATTGCTCATCTTCAGAAATTTACAGTCTTTGAATTCTTTGGATGTTTCAAACAACTCATTTTCTGGTACAATACCACCTGAAATTGGCTATTTGAAGAATCTCACCGACCTTTACGTTGGCATCAACCGGTTTTCCGGTCCGTTGCCGCGTGAAATCAGTGAGCTATCTAGGCTTGAGAACTTCTTCTCGCCTTACTGTTTAATAACCGGGCCTTTGCCAGAAGAAATGGCTAAGTTGCAAAGGCTGAGTAAACTTGATTTGTCATATAATCCGTTGAGGTGTTCGATTCCAAAGTCTATTGGGAAGTTGCGGAATTTGAGTATTTTGATTCTGGTTTCATCTGAGCTTAATGGGTCCGTCCCTCCTGAGCTGGGAAATTGTAGGAACTTGAAGACTTTGATGCTTTCCTTCAATTCGCTTTCCGGGTCGTTGCCTGAGGAGCTTTCTGAGCTTCCAATGTTGACGTTTTCTGCTGAAAAGAACCAGCTTTCCGGGCGTTTGCCTTCTTGGCTAGGGAGATGGAATCAGGTGGACTCGCTTTTGCTTGCGAGCAATCGGTTTTCGGGGGAAATCCCGGCTGATATTGGGAATTGTTCTATGCTTAGACACCTCAGTTTGAGCAATAACTTGTTGACTGGTGGAATACCGAAGGAGCTCTGTAATGCATTGTCTCTTATGGAGATTGATCTCGGCAGGAACTTCCTTTTTGGTACAATTGAGGACACTTTTGCTAAGTGTACTAATCTTACTCAATTGGTTTTGGGGAATAATCAAATCGTCGGCCGACTTCCAGAGTACCTGGCTGAGCTTCCGCTAATGGTACTAGACGTGGATTCCAATAATTTGACCGGCAGAATTCCGAGCAGTATTTGGAAGTCACAGAGTTTAATGGAATTATCGGCTGCTAATAATCAGTTGGGGGGTTCTCTGTCAGCGGACATTGGCAAAGCAACTGCACTAGAAAGGCTGGTTCTCAATGATAATCGGTTAAAAGGCACCATACCGGAAGAGGTTGGAAAACTTCGTTCCCTTTCGGTTCTTAATTTAAATTCGAATATGCTTGAAGGGAATATCCCGACCGAGCTTGGAATGTGCACTGCCCTTACCACATTGGACTTGGGAAATAACCATCTCAATGGGACCATACCAGAGAGTCTTGCGGACTTGGATCAACTTCAATGCTTGGTTCTCTCTCACAATGATCTATCCGGGTCGATTCCTGCAAAGCCGTCTTTGTATTTTCGTCAGGTTAATATCCCTGATCTGAGCTTTGTTCAACATCGCGGAGTTTTTGATCTGTCTTACAATAGGTTGTCTGGCACGATACCTGATGAATTGGGAAGCTGTGTGGTGGTGGTAGATCTTTTGATAAGTAATAACATGCTTTCTGGGGGAATTCCAAGGTCACTCTCTCACTTGAAGAATCTTACAACGCTGGATTTATCAGGGAATTTGCTTACTGGTTCCATCCCTCCAGAGTTTGGTGACTCTCTAAAGCTTCAGGGGTTGTATCTTGGAAATAATCGGCTCACTGACAGTATCCCTGGAAGTTTGGGTCGTTTGAGTAGCTTGGTGAAGCTGAATTTGACTGGAAATGAGCTCTCTGGTTCAGTACCAGTAACTTTTGGGAACTTGAAAGGCCTGACACACTTGGATTTGAGCTCTAATGAGCTTAGCGGTGAGCTTCCTTCTTCTCTTTCGAGCATGCTAAACCTTGTAGGGCTTTATGTTCAGCAGAACAGGCTTTCTGGCCGGGTTGATCAGCTCTTCTCGAATTCCATTTCGTGGAGGATCGAGACTATGAATTTGAGCAGTAATTTGTTTGATGGGAAATTGCCACAATCTTTAGGCAACCTGTCATACCTGACGTACTTGGATCTTCATGCAAATATGTTTTGGGGTGACATTCCAGCAGAGCTCGGGAATTTGATGGAGCTCGAGTATTTTGATGTTTCAAGGAACAGGCTCTCCGGACAGATTCCAGAGAAAATATGTGGGCTGGTGAATCTATTTTACCTGAATTTGTCTGAAAATGGATTGGAAGGGCCTATTCCCAGGGGTGGAATTTGCCAGAAGCTATCAAAAGTTTCACTTGCTGGGAACAAAAACCTGTGTGGGAGAATTATGGGGTTGGATTGCCAGATAAAAGATTTCGACAAATCTGCACTGTTAAATGCCTGGGGACTGGCTGGGATTGTAGTTGGAACTACTCTTATAATTCTTACTATTGCATTTGCTCTTGTGAGATGTGTTGTCAGGAACAGCAGGCAAAAAGACACTGAAGAAATTGAGGAAAGCAAGCTTAACAATTTTCTTGGTCAAAATCTCTATTATCTTAGCAGCAGTAGCAGATCAAAGGAGCCTCTGAGCATCAATGTGGCCATGTTCGAGCAGCCTCTCTTGAAGTTGACTTTAGTCGATATCCTTGAAGCGACCAACAACTTCTGCAAGACCAACATAATCGGAGATGGAGGTTTCGGTACAGTATATAAAGCTACTCTGCCTAATGGAAAAACAGTTGCAGTTAAAAAGCTTAGTGAAGCCAAAACGCAAGGTCAAAGAGAGTTTATTGCTGAAATGGAAACTCTGGGGAAAGTGAAGCACCAAAATCTAGTGCCGCTGCTCGGGTACTGCTCTATTGAGGAGGAAAAGCTTCTTGTTTACGAGTATATGGTGAACGGGAGCCTAGACCTTTGGCTGAGAAATCGAACAGGGGCTCTTGAAGTTCTCGATTGGGAGAAACGCTTCAAAATCGCAAATGGTGCTGCTTGTGGGCTGGCCTTTCTCCACCATGGATTCATTCCCCACATCATTCACAGGGACATAAAAGCAAGCAACATCTTGCTCAATGAAGTCTTTGAGCCAAAGGTTGCTGATTTTGGGCTGGCGAGGTTGATTAGTGCCTGTGAGACTCATATCACGACTGACATTGCAGGAACGTTTGGTTACATTCCACCAGAGTATGGGCAGAGCGCGAGGTCCACTACAAGGGGCGATGTCTACAGTTTCGGCGTGATTTTGCTTGAGTTGGTGACAGGGAAAGAGCCAACAGGACCGGACTTCAAAGAGATCGAAGGCGGGAATTTGGTGGGCTGGGTGTTTCAGAAGATCAAGAAGGGGCAGGCTGCTGATGTTCTCGACCCAACCGTCCTCAAAGCGGACTCTAAGCACATGATGCTTCAAGTGCTGCAGATTGCTTGCCTTTGCCTGTCTGAGAATCCCGCCAGCAGGCCTACCATGCTTCAAGTGGTGAAGTTCTTCAAAGGGATCAACGATGAGTAACTCTAAGATCTAGCCTCTTCTAATGTAGCTTGAGTCATAGGACTGATGAACTATAATAATATTGTAGAGTATTTAGGAAGAAGATAGGTCTGTAACGTAAGCTGCAAGTCTTTTAGTTTCCTAATATAATCAAAAATCAAGAGTTGCTCTTCTTGATCATAAATTTGCTTTGTGGAACCTGTTTTTTAAGTTTCTTGCTTCTGCTCCTCTACGTTCAAAGTGATGAATGACATACATACATATATATATATATATATATATATATAGACTCACAGAAATGAAGTACATACATACAGACAGCTGTAATGTACATGGTATGTTTTCGGTGCAAGGTTTATGAGGAAATCTTTACGGCAGAACATATTATTTTGTTCTACTAGTGGAATCGGTTAAATTCAGTTAAATCTATACAAATTCACATTAAAAATTTACAACAAAATTGCTCATACTATAAATCAACAATATATTTGTTAAATCTATACAAATTCGCATTAAAAATTTACAACGAAATTGCTCATACTATAAATCAACAATAAAAATATAGTTGCCGATGTTCTCATCGACAGAGCAAAATAATATGTTCTGTCATAAAGATTCTCAATTTATAATAATAATGATAAAAGCATCTAGAGTGTAGATAATAATAATAATAATAATAATAATCACGCCAAAACAAATTTGGCAGAAATTTTGATTGGGACTCGTCGACTCGATATAAGGAAGTGACGTAAAACATAGACTTTTAAATTTTAAATATTATCTATCCAACGCTCTTCGAAATTCCATCTTGTTATATAGATTAAGACCTAAAACTCCAGTCGCAATATTTGGTGTGACCCCAATCCAACTCTAATTCCAAATGGGGGATATTCTTGCTCAAATTCCAAAAGTGAGTTTCATTTTTGGTTTATTGCGGCTCAACAGTTGGACCATTGATTTGGACTTTGAACAGGATTTTATATGCGAATTTGTTGCCCTTTTACATCCCAACGTGAATACGTGATACGGTAATGCTTGAGATAATGATCCAAATCATCTCTAGTCAACAGCGGCAGCTCTCTCTTGCGCATGTTTGCTTGAAATTAGAAGTGTTCTTTAATTATATAGTTTCTAAAGCCCAACACGTTTTTTATTTTATTTTTATTTTTTATAATTGAAAGCCAAACACGTTAATAGATAACATTCAACTACCCACTTCTTTACAACATATAGATATCAAATATGATTCAACATTTACAGGACAAACTCCAATTCGTCTATCTAACTGACGAATTAAAAAAAAAAAAAAATCCAACTTTTTCCCCCACAAGTGATGGTGTTAGTGATGATCAAACATCAGGTCAATGAGGATCTTAAATATCTAGCACTTTTTATTATTAGATTGAGCTTTAGAGGAAGAAGAAACTGAAACGTTTCAATCTCACGTCCCAAAGTGGAGCCATATTTTGACTTTTGAGAACGTGGCACAGACTAGGATCGCCAACATCGAACGCTCACATAATGCCAAGTCGCAATCTTGCATGCATTATCTTTAACATAACCTCAGGAAAGTCCATTAAGCCTGCTTTTATCTCTCAATTCACATGCTTTCTTTTCTTAAGCCTGCCCCCGATTAAGTACATGTATAATAATAATTTTATCAAATCATTTTTAATTTATTTAAATTTTAAAAATTCTTACTTTATTTTTTAAATTGTTCCTATTTAACTCTTTCTATTAAAATTTCTGTAAAAAAATAATTAAAAAAAAGTAATGCACACACTCTTTCTGTTAAATATTTACCACACGTAACTTGTTTTTCTCAATCTGATTTTAACAAATTCTTACGAAAGAACTTAAATAAAATTAGTCTATAATTTTAAAAATAAAATGATAGTTTATAAAGTTTAAATAAAAAATAAATTCAAAATGACTTTAAAATTGAGATACATCAATACTACTCTTATAATATACTTTTAAGAAAAACAAACAAGGAAAAAAAAAAGTGTATTAACAAAAGTAACCACTAAACTTCTAAAGGGACCAACTTGGTTGTAACAAATATACAATAGCTCCCTACACTTGCGCTGGGGGGCCTGGGGCCATCAGTTTCTTCAGCCCAACACGGTTTTCAATACTATTATAATTCCACCACAAACTTTTGTTGAAATTACACAATTGGTTGAAAGAAAAAGAGAGGAAAAAGAAAATAATGTTTTTTTTTTCCTAATATAAAAGGGCAAAAAGGGTAGGCGACCGAGAAACTCTTGAAAATCAGAAGTCCTAAAAGGTTAATGACGCACGTGACCAAATCGGCGCACGTGCCTCTCCTTGTACGGACCCGGAATACAATGGCTACAGCTACACCGCCCTGCCATCTAGACTATGCTTGATCTTTTTCTTTTTTCTTTTTTTTGGGGGGGGACCGACCACTGTTATCAATTACAGACCCTCTGATTAAGTCTGTGGGGCTGCTTTAACCACGGCTTTTCCTGATGAACAACATCTAACGGCTCTGATTTCACGTCCACTCCAGCTGGCTGCCGAAGAAGCAGATCCGTCTGGTCCTCAGCCGGCTCGATGTCGTTGCCGCCTTCCCTGGCCCGCTTAGCTCCGATGGTGACTCCGAACAGCTTCGGACTCGTTTTCTCCTCCGCCGTGGCGTCCTCGCCTTCGCCGCTAAACCGCTTCGCAGGCATCAAATCCAGCGGTTCAACCTCCCGAAAACCGCTCTCCCTCGCCTGAAAAACGCTCTCCGATTGGAGGCAGGCGTAATTTGACACCATACTGAAGATATTGCTGCAGATAGACTTCATCTCCGCTAACTCCTTAGAGAGCTGGAGGTTCTCCTTCCTCAGCCTCTCGTTCTCGTCCACGAGCTCCGCCGGACCTCTTGTCGGCGACGAATTCGAAGAGATAACTTGCTCTTCACCTGAATTCGACGGAGAGATTATAGGCATAGCCGTGGGAATCGCCGCCACCGTCACGGCTACCGTAGTCGTCGTCGCCGCCGCCGACGGCGTCGCCCCCGGTGTCGCGATTTTCCTGCGTTGAATTTCGCACAGAAGCCGTTTCTCGCTTCTGCGAAAGTACTCGTTCGAGAATTCCCACCGATCGGGTACAACCTTCCGAAATCCCTAAAAATCCAAAAAAGGAAACAAATTTAGAAATCTAACCTCCACAAAATCGAAATAAATGGAAAAAAAGCTATAGGCTTACATAGGTATTAAGCTGTCTAACGAAGCTGGAGAAATTATTGTGCTTGAAATATTTAGGAAGCAAATCTCTGGCGAAAACGGTGGGGTTCCAGACGATGAAGGTAGATCCGTCGTCGTTCCAGGAGATCACGTCGTCGATGGCTTGATCGTCGACGAGCTGATAAGTTTTCGTCAAAAACGGCGTCGGTAAAGACCTCTGGGACTCGCCGGAAGCGGAATCTCCGGCTGGCTCCGTCGCCATGATTGAAGCCTGAAGCAATAACGGCAATGGGAAAAACGCACGCGAGACGTCAAGATCGAAGAGAAGGTGGAGGCGTTGGTTATGGCAGTTCTAGAAGTTTCGTGGTGGAACTTACAGGAAGTAGAGAGAGAGAGAGAGAGAGAGAGAAGAAATGAAGGAAAACGGTGGAAAAGAAAGGAAGGGGGTAAAAAAGAAGGAACCACCAGGCGAAACTACTAGTTACGTCTTTCCTCGAGAAACTTCCAAGATTTTCTCCGTCTCTTTCTACACGTGTCAATTACACAACGGATAAAATTATCTATTTTGGTATTTGTTTCAACCGATCTGTTTTCCTACGATTAGCAAAAAAAAAAAAAAAAAAAAAAAAAACTATCTGTTTTCCTTTCCTTTTCTGCTGGGAATTTATATTCTCTCTTTTGTTGAAAATGCCGACTTTACTCCAAATGCATTTCTATTATATTCTGTAGTTAACAAAAACAATACCGTATAATGAAAAAAAAAACTACTTGGATCAAAGCCAAATAATGAATTATTAGAGCATATAATTTCTAAGCAATCTTTTTAAACAAGTGTGTATTATGTATTATGAGTTCTCTCGTTTTTATCTTTGCTTTCCTACTTAGGCCAACTATTTGCTAATACTTTTTCTTAGATTTTTTGTCATTATAATCTCATTATAGTTCATTATCCTTCTTTTCCCCTATTTCGGGTTGGTGATGGTCGCTATGTGTCATAAATGCATAATACACAAGGAAAGAGTTCTAAAAGTCATGAATTTCCTGCCCCTCTAGTGTTATTCTATTAAGATGTTGTCCATGTAAAAAATGTGATATAAGGAGATTTAATTATTAGTATTCATTTTAATAATTTTTATTGTCGTTTGTTTATCTTATATTTTAATAGTTATTTATTATCGTTATGATGAGTGGACTATAAATAGTAACTTAACAATTGTATTAAAAAAGTTTGAATATTTAAGCATTGAATGCTAGATTTGTGTTTTCTCTCTAAATTAGGGAGTTTTCCTTTGCGAGACTTCTTTTAGATAGACTAGAATTGCACGTCCCGTTTTCCCGTTTATATTAGGCTGATAAAATCTCTTTTTATCATTTTCGTTCTAAAAGAAATCAAGGCAGGTTATGATTTGATAACTACATCAAATCGTCTCAACTCAGGCCAATCAAATGGTCTACTCCCTGATTGAACGTTACTATAGGCCACAATGAGAAGCGGGAATCACAAAATTCTATTCCCAAAAAACAATAATCTCCGTGTAGTTTGATAATTTGAACAGAAATTTAAATTTCTTTTAAAGAAAATACTATAACAAAAAAGGTTTGAATTGTGATTTGAACTTATGAATTAAATGGTATCAAATTGTACTTGAATCAAAGTTTCAAGAAGGCGTCACAAGCAGTGAAAAGCGTGAGCAAACTAGCAAAGTTACACTACTCGGTACATGACAAATTGCTTATCCCTAATATGAGGTATGAAGGAACTCTTGCAAGGATTTTTGTCTGCGATCAATCACGTTCATTTGTGTTTTCGAGATTTTTTTTTTTTTTAATTCAAAATCTTCCTAATTTGTTTGATGGAACTCTGTCATCCAGAGATTCCCTTCCCTCCTTTGGTCCCCCCACGTTTAGATCCAAACAAAATTGCCTCGTTGACGACGCATGCCATTTGCCACCAAGAGATTTTGCCAACGTTTTTCATGCCTTTCGACTCTTTGCTGAGTCGTTTACATAGAATATACATACATATTTACTGTCGATTTTTCTTTTTCTTTTTTTTTTAAATTATCTACTGTTGATTGCATACGAGAGGGAAATTAGAACAGCATCCACTACAAGGACGGATCAAATGTACGCACAGAGCTACTCAAAGCTCGTCTTTATTCCTTTCAAAAAGTTTCACGTTCTGCGGATTTTTCCCGAGAAAAATAGTGAAGACCATGTAAATTCCTTTAAAAGTAAAACAGAAGATAAGAAGATGAACAAGGCTTGAACCAACTGCTCAACAAGAACAAGAACCAACTGCTCAACAACTTACGATATACTGATTTAAGGCTTTAGTTGTGACCGTCTCATACTATAATGATCGCTATTTTATTCACAAAAAACTTAATGGAAAATCTTACATGATAAATACGATTCTACTTTTTTAACTTATTTTTCAACTCCGAATGAGACCACTTTCTTTGTTTATCTAATGCGGATGAGTTGACAATAACAAGTGTTGCATGAGGTATTTGAAAACAATAAATATTAGCAGAAATGTATCAATGCAAAAGAATCAGAAGATAGTGTTCAATGTGCCAATTTAACAACATTTATGTGTTTCAAAGTAAATTAATGTACTGAATTAGTATGATTTATGACATAATGCCTTTTTTTTTTTTCTAAACAATGGAAAGAAACACAAATTTTCCTTAAATAGGAGAACACTCTTTAACTTGTAATCAATCAAAATCAACCTAATCAATAAATTTGAAGCTCTAGATGAGAAGAATTCATCAAGAAACACACAAATTTCCACGACGAAACAACGAGATAGTTGCGGAAGTATAAACAGCTGAGACAAAGACAACCCACCAAGCCATAAATAGAGCCAATTCTCTCACGAAGTCAGAGCAAGGAAGTAGACTGCAAACAAATTGGTAATCAACTTCGAAATGGCTAATGTCGACTTGAGATAATCCAAGAAAGAGAAGTAACAACAGTGGAGGCATAAGAAACTGCAGAACAACTAGACATAAGAAATGGTTGTGCAGAAAAACCTTAGCCCTACTAAAATCCAAATCAGGTTCCTTGCTAGCGTGCAGCCTTTGATACCAAGATAGAAGCGCCTCATTCAAGTACATTTGCAAATTGGGGCGCAAAGCAACAAGTTGCGAAACACCCGAAATGAATAAGCACCAAATCCTTATTCTTGCAAAATCCGACCGCAAAAATCCTACATTTCCTAGCAACCTTTCTGCGTTTCCAATTTCATTAACCAAATGTGATCCTTTACCATCATCTATACTCTTGTTAACAAGCATTTCGGATAAAGGCTTAATCCATAACAACGCAGTTAATGTGATCACCAAATAATTTGCATACAAGATTACTCTAGCAAATGATCCACAAGTAATCATTGACAAATTAGACCTAAGCTGATCAGTCCCGAGCCAAAACGACCTGGCGATCTTCGTCGCAGGAACGAACAAAAGACCCGCTAAGCAGCCCATTAAAACAGCAATGAAAAATCTCCCAAACCCATCAATTGAGCCAAAATCGAAATCCAAAACCGAAGATGTAATGTTATAACAAGTCAAACTCCCTAAAATCACCCCAAAAACCCCAAAGAGAACACCCAATTGCTTCTCCGAACGCCTCGAAGCAGATTTCTCAAACGAGAGTTTACCCAACACCATTAATATCTTAAAAACAGCCACAAATCCGAACAGAACCGGGACGAAAATCCCACCCATGAAAAACCCAGATTTTTCCGATGCATCGTTTTTCAAGAATATATGAAGCGATAGAGAAGAAATAGCCACAAACGAAATTGTAAAAGCGTTACGATACTCATCGAAATAGAGCCTTGATCGAAGATGCGCCTCGTCGAGCTTTAGCCTGAAGATCTGAGCATTGCTTTCGTCGAACTCAAACTTGTCCTTCGATTTGGACCTCTTTCTGACCTCGGCGTGACCCGAATCGGAGCTGTCGGGCCTCCGAATGGCGGCGCGGACGCCATTGCCGAGATTTTCTGGGTGGATGTAGGTGTGGAGGCCGTGGAGGAAGAAGATGGGGATTTTGAGGAAGATTATGACTAGGGTTAGTGAGATTGAGAGTGAGAGTTGGAGCAACAGATTGGTGTAGGTTTGGAAGAACTGGAAGTGAGTCATGGTATTGTTGTTTAGTGTTAGAGACGCAATTAGGAACAATTCATTCACCAAAGAGGACAAGGTTTTGAGATCTCAAATCTAAATGTTGTTGTTTTGGACCTTTTGGGCACTTTGGTTTTCTCAGCACAATAGACCCCAAATGAATGGGACCCTTCGTTGGGCTTTTTTTTTTTTTTTTTTTGGAAAGGAAAGGTTGGTTTGTATTTTCTAGCAAACTAAACAAAGTTAAGGAGGCTTTTGACTTATCCTCCTTGCCTCTTGTGCTAACCCTACTTCTTGTTGATTCTTATTTCCCACCATGCGATTTTTTTATATTAGTCGCGTAACGAATTTTGCCAAAATCTACTTAGCATCACTTTTTATTTGAGGCAAGTACGGTAATATTCAATATTCATATAACTTTTTGGGCGGTACAAAATATAACGATCCTACAAATTATTGTATAATTATTTTCAAAAATTTCTTATCACATTCTACAAAATAGTATAATTATATTGTTTGATAACTTTGATTACTGTCCTGCCTAACGTCAGAAATAATATACTATTTATAGCCCAAACACAAAGTTTGCGGATACATATGCCACTGTTTCTAAGATGGGGACGACATTATTATTAGGGTTGATACTTAAAACCTGTAAATATATTTAGGTCAAAATCAGATTGAATCTGTAAAACACGATTAAATAACGTGTTATTTTTAAATTGACTTATCCAATTTATAATTAATCCGTTATAACTCATTTATTAAACGTGTCATATTTAAATAACCTGAATACACAATCCATTTGTTACCTAGATTAAAAATATTTCAACATTTCTATTTTCTGCCTCTCTTTCTGCCTACTAGGTTTTCTAACTTTTATTCTCTCTCATTTTTTCGATCCAGACTCTCCAGTCCATCATCGCTTCTCTCAGTCCAGACCCACCCACCTACCCTCACCCTCACCGACCGGCACCGCCGCTTTTTCTTCTTTCCTCTCCGCCCTATTCTCTCTGGACTCTCCAGTCTCTCCGTCAGATTCGGCCTTCGGGAACAGATTCTTCTCATTCTTCTTCAAATTCGGCCTTCGGGAACAAATTCTTTGCTTCGGCAACAAAGATTTCAGGTATTTCCCTTGTCCATTTTTTGTTTTTGTTTTGATGATTTGATCTATGTTTGTGGTTTTTATTTGTTATAAATTGCTCCTGAGGTAAGATTTCGAGAGCCGCCGTCCCTCTTTCAAACTTCAATCCTGGCTTCACTCTTCTCCTTGTGATTGTTGTTCTTTGGTTTGAATTTTCCTCTTTCCTTCTTATTTTCCTCTTTATTATACGTTTAGTTTCATTCTTAAACCGGAATTTTGATCCTACAGTCGCAGGTTGGCTCAATTGCAAATGTGCTGACGTTGCAAATGTCTCTTGTTTGTTCGATTTCTAGGTTTTAATACCTGTGGTTTCTTTTCTTGGTTTCTTGCACTTGCAGGTTTTCAGGTCGCTCTTGAATATCTCGGCGGAAGAGTTCGAAATGGCCTTGATCACATCCTTCTGTTAGTCTATTAAAGGTCAGTGTTTTCTCTTGTGTTCGTTGTTTTGTTTTTGTTTTGGTTGAAATCCATTGAAGCTTTTTCTAGAAAGATGATTTCTTTTGATAAATTGTGGACCTCTCAATCGTTGCTGATGCTGTTTTCGTTCTCATTGGAGCTCAATTACATCTTTGATTTAGATTTTTGGGATGATTGAAGTGCAAAAGCAAAGCTTATTATTCATTTTGTTCCCTTGTTTTCACAAATAAAAAGTTCAAATGTTTCTTTATTTTGTGCTTCATATCAAATGCGAAATTCTTCATTTTTGCGCAAGTGTTTTAATTCCTTTATTTGTGGAAACGTATGAAGTATCTACAAAATGGATTTTCTTTACTCTAATTTTTTTTACGCATTCCCATGCCTCATAAGATTCTATAGATTTCAATAATTCACATATGAGAGTTGTGCTAATATAGTTGATAAATTCTTGTGGAAACCATGAAATTGGAACTTGTTAATGCTCACGCTGCTATAATTTTGATTGGTTGTTAATTGTTATAATATATGTTGATGACGCAGCCATTGCCCATAAATTTGCTTCTTTTTTCTTCGGGCTATTTCTTCTGTTACACGAATGGCACCTACACACAATACTTGGATTACAGTTTTACGCCGAAAGTTGAGAGCCTGGTGACATTGGATAATTTCACTCACTCATTGACGCTTTAAAAATTCTGTAGATATTGGGAGAGTAATCATAAATTTTGGGATTGTTTCACTTTTACCGTAAAAAATCTGTGTATTTATAAATTTCTAATGTGTCCACTTTCTACTCATGATTAGTTTCTAGAACAGAGGTTGAAATGTATAAAACACTTGATCCTCTGTTTCGTATGGTCATCTTGAAGGCACCTTGTGACATTCATTGGAGGGACTTTTTATTAAAAGATGAGGAACCTTTCTCATATGGATCAACTTTACCTGATGATGTGACTCCCCCTACTGCAGCAAATTAGTTAATTGTTTAATGATTCATCATGTATGTTTGTTTGCTAATTTGTGAGAAAGTTTTATGTGTTTGTTTTAATTTTGAACTTAGATTATTTAATGTCTCTTCAGCATGTTAAATAGGTGGAGAAACAAATCTTTAAGTACAAACAGGTTAAGAAATATGTTTTATCACACATTTTATAAACAGGTTCAGAAATAGGTTAACACAACCCATTTATCACCCATTTTATAAACAGATTCAGAAATATATTAACACGATCCATTTATCACTCATTTTATAAACGGGTTGGTAGGTAATCAACAGGTTGACACAACACGTTTACAACCTGTTTAATAAACAGGTTAGTTGTGTCGTGTCCACCCGTCAATATACAGGTCGTGTTTGAGTTTTGTATTTCGACATGAATAATAAACGGGTTGTGTTCGTGTCAGTCTTAACCATATCAACTGAGGAGGTTAATACGAACACGATCCGCTAATACAAATTATCACTCCTAATTATAACGAGTAATTAACCGATTGAATGTATTTTGGGAATATCATATTTGTTTAGAAATTGGCAGCAATTCAATACTAGCTAGTCCTCTCCGTTATATTGACACTTATGGTTGATACTCGCAGGTAGTATATTCTAAGTGTTTGTTTAGAAAGTGTGTTCAAAGGAGTGATTTGAATTAGAGTTTAAATTTTGTGAGGAAAAACGTTATAATAAAACTTGTTAAATTTTAATTTTTTATGAGAAGAAATATTATTTAAACGAAGACCACTTATAAAACAAACGGCGTCAGTAGCACGTAATTGCGTCTGATAAATTAATAATAATTCGTTTGTGATAATGTCTAGTCAAAAGTGTTAGCGAGCAAACTGTCAATTGACTCAATATATATTAGATTAGATTCGTAAACAGATACTCATAATATTGCCCAAGTCTATTCATATATCATCCACCAATTGGACAAACATATCAAAGCATCCGTGAAGTTTCACGACTTACGTCTTCTTTAAAGATATATATGTTTGGGAACTCTGACAAATAACCAAATTAATGAAACTTGGCCATTTCATAATCACAACAAATATAACAGGCCGATTAAAAGCAGTTGAGACGTCTAAATTACTTTAAATTATCCCATTAACATGTCATTTTCCCAACAACATTATCAAAAAACCACAAAAATCTCAATCTCGACCGGAGCTAAAGCAATCAATTAGACTGTGATACATACATACATACATACATACATAAAGAGAGATAAGACTGCCCAACTGATAACGATTGAACACCAGCTATTTTTATTCTTAAAATGTCTTTTATCTTCTTAATCCAATTCGCAAAAAGTATCCTCATCAACATAACAAGACTTAAAAAGAAAATTAATTAAACTCGCAAGCTATAGCACTTCTGTAATAAAAATCTAACGCAAGCCTCCAGGATTACAAAAATATCATGTACAATATCAACATCCACTTTTTAAAAAGCCGAAGAAAAGCAATTAAAAGCCCATCAAATATAGCCTAACTCATGATCACCACCTAACTGAATAATTGCAATTATAAATCATCAAAAACACAAGCTTAGCTAGCTTTCTGGCGACTGCCATGAACCATCATCAATACCCATAAACCACCAATATTTGTACTGTATTATTACAAACACCGATTAGCTAATTAAATGAGATTATTACATTAAATAAGAACCAAAAGAAAGAGATTATGTTGGTAGAGTAATATATATATATATATATTTTTTTTTTTTTTTTATCAGCATGACACAGCTCTAAATCATTTGATGATTTTGTCAAGTTTGTTGAATTATATTTTTTTTATACCCTACCACAATATCCTCAAAAATAATAAAAATGAAAGAAAGGAAAAGATGAAAACCTAGAACAAAGAATATTAATTTAAAGTATTGAGAGGTGCCGAAGGTACATTATCCTGCTGGTCTTTCTCATCCTTATCGCCAACGGTTCTGATTTCTAACTGTGGGACCACCTGTGGGGACAGTCAAATATTCATCCAGAAAGAAAAAATAACGAAAAAAGAAAGAAAAAGATCAGCCAATATATGCTATTTTTTTTTTAATTGGCGCCTGAGTGATGACTGATGAGGGATCGGCCCACATATTGTTAGTTTACCAATCTATACTAAAAATATTAAAATAAGAGGTCTTAAATTTAAACTCCTGTAATTATACTTTTTATTTCCATTTAAAAATTATCATGTATTAAGTTTTTAATATATTTTAGACTTAAATATTCACGTGTTAGACTTTCTAATTAATTTATCCATACGATTACGTATTGTCTAACCCACACGTAAGGAGGAGCGTTAAAGTATAAAACTATTGTTGACCCACCTCGTAAAAACTTAAACTTTGAGGATGGATCGGTAAACTAACATGTAAAAAGATCAAAAGATAAAAACAAAAATCAAACTGTATAAAAAGCAGGTGGTAGTCGATCAATCAAAGAGAATGGAGTTGATTTGAAGTTAACTACTAGTTTCCAACCGCTTGATCATGATCCTATGGTACTGGTATAACTGCAAGATTATAGGTAATTTATGTACATTATCCAAATATGTGTCCTCCACCTCACCACAAACTGTATATTGTAATTTACTTTATAAGCGTGATTTATCATATATAATGTATAGCTATATGCAGTAGAATATGTTCTTGATGTGATACCAACCTGATCTCGTGATGAATTCAACGGCTGAGATGATCTTATTCTCCTGGATCTCTTTTCAGCTATGCTCTCCATTCTGCCTCTTGGACCCATACAATCTAGTTCAAGGAAACCCAAAGTATTATTTTTCAACAGTAAAAATTTTAGAAAGTATGATATGGAAAAGAAAAAGGGAAAAAGTTTGTTTTTTTTTTTTTCTTAAAAAAAATCCAATATAGGTGGAATAAGTAGTAAGTTACGTCAGACAGTTGGGCAAAAAATATCTCGACGCATATGGGAGTTTTACGTATTCTTTTAATGACATTCATTGGATGCCGTTTGGTTGGCGAGTCAAAAATGCTTTTTTCATACTTCAACATATACTTAAGGAGTTCTTTATGACAGTCCATTATATATATAATTAATTGAGATATTAACATGTCTTTTAGAAAAATAATTAACTAGCACCTAAAGTAGATCTTTGATATTTATGAATCCCTTAATTATAATAATAAGGATCCATTCCATAAATTAAGCAAAAAAATAAATAATAAAAAATAAAGAGCAAGAATGCACCACCTGCTTAAATTTAGAGCGATGCCAATTCATAAACGATGATCAAATTAATAAACTTAAAATATACAATGAGAAACAAGAACTAATAATAAATACATGCATAAAACATAGATATAAACACATATATACATATATATTATACCAGAATTAGTGCCATGCTTAAATCTGGTTCGTTGATGAGGTTTCAAATCTAGGGTTGAGTCGGAGGTGTCAGGCAAATATCGGTCGAGACGAAGAGGAAGACGACCGTTATGATTTTCAAGCATGGTACGGACGAAGGAGGCCTCTATGGAGGTCAAGTACTGGAGGTGCTTTTCGTCGGTCCAACTCTCCGACGACGTCGTTTTGCCGTCCATTTTGGAGCTTACCGGCCACAAATATTGTCGCCGGTGAAACTTTTCGCCCGGTATTAGTGTCTGAAAGTTTGGAAGCAAGGATTTTGGGCGTTTCTCATGCTTTTTATAGAGGTTCATTACATGTATAAGGAGTTTTGTGTGTGAGGTTGTTGGAGTTGAGGGGGAGAGAGAGAGAGAGAGAGAGTGAGAGAGAGAGAGAATTTCGAGCAAACATACTCGCGGGTTTTAGACGACAAAGTATAAAAAGTCAAGTATTTGCACACAAATAATTCTTTTTTGACGGATATTTTCTTTTGAAAATTCTTTTTTGACGGATATTTTCTTTTGAAAACTCTTTAATTCGTGGATATTTTTCTCCTAAAACAAATTAATACGGCAATTTCTCTGTCGTTTTCATGGCCACGTGATGGTATTGTATCGTGTAGCTTATTAATATTATTTATTAATTTTTATGATAGTGGAGAATTGGAATAGTTGATTTAGAATATTTTTTGTTTAGCCAACTACTAAACACGGTGGTTAGCATTATTTAGCCGTTTATGTGATTCTTGAAAAACAAAAATGTCATTTTTATGTGATTTTAGGAGCTTTAAAAGTTATATAAACAATAACACACACACATATATATATATATATATACACACACATATATGTTATCGTTAGAAAGAAAGGTGTTGTGTGTGTGTATTTATTGAGGGAAAAAAGGCAGTTACATTGAACAACAAAAGAAAAAAGACAAAAAACATGGAAAATTAATCCGGAAAGAATGCCGCGAGTACCAAATATCACGTCAAGCGAGAGTGGGCATGGTATTCAAGGGGGACCCAATGGGTGAAAATATCTGGGAACTTTAAAAACCTTTTGATTTATGGGAAATTTCTTTCGAAAGAAAAAGATAGGTAATTGGAAGATATTTTTTTGTGAATGGAGTGAAGAATCCTTCTCTCAGATTCTCAAAAAACAAGGTACAGGAGAAGTAAACAAAAAAATATAAAAGGAGCTTTTATGATGGTGCGGGATGCTGACATATATCCAGAGTGTGGGGTTGTGATTTTCAATTTTTGTCGCAACATTATATGTTTGACCTTCTTTCTGCTTCAAATTTACGTTTTTTTTTTTCTTTTTTTTTTTTTTTTTTTGCCTTCACAAAGTTACAACTTTATCCTGGAATGAATATACATGTCAAAAATTATCCCTCTCTTTTGAACTCTAATAGAGTTTTTTTTCTGGCCTAAGGTGAGGATTAGATTTAGATTTGAAAATTGATAAAGATCTTATCCATTTTTCTTGCACAATCAAACTAGATTAAATTAAAGATTATTTTTTTATTAATGTAATCACGAAAATTAATTCTATTATTCTTCAAGAAATAAAATAATCTCTTACATGATGGTCAGAAGTTTCATTTTTTTTTAAAATATTTATATATCATCTTTCTATAAAATGTAAATAGGTTATTATAATTAAAAATAACTAAGGTCTGGTAATGCCTATATGTCGTGTTTGGTAATGCCTGAGATTCGTGGGGCATGGGGCTTGGGTTTCAAAATTTGAGCATCTGAAGAGCTATTGACTCTATTTTTAAAGTAATTATTGTCGCGTCTCGGGGTTTCTCTCTTTTCTCTATTGTGCTTTTTTTTTTGCCCCTTTCTTGGTTCCGGGGGCTATAAATCCTCGGTGCCTTCGAGTTGGCCATCAAATTTGTGGCCCTCTGAGTTGGTTCTTTTGGTCTAAGAGGGTATTCTTGATGGTGGCGTAGGTGGATGTGGTCATTAGGGATTGGGTTTCATTGCTCGCTATGGAGCAGGTGGGTGCCGATTTGTCTGTCAGCTCGGGGCTCGGGTGCCGCATTATCTTGGGCGGTGTTTGTGTTGCACTCATCCAATGATGTTTCGGATGCGGCCTTTCGGCTACTTTAGAGTAGTGCTCACTCATATCACCACATAGCTAGTGATGCCATTAGAGGCTTCTCCTTTATGGCATCTTTATTTATGAGTGAAGAATGGAAATTAAGAATCAAAATTAACCTCATATTTATTTATCTATTTCTATCTTAGAAAGGGAGTGGAGATGTGTGGATTTCACGCTAATTTAGAATTAAAGAATGAGATTGACACTCCTTTCATCTCCCTACCGGATTGACACTCTTAATTCTGATAGTAAATATGAATTACGATTTTACCCTTAATTTTATTGATAAATTTGTGAATAGAAAAGTAAAAAGTAAAAAAATTAAAAACGCCTTAATTTACTTTCACGCTTCTCGTATATCTTTGCTCACTTTCTATGATATTTTCTTCTCCTCAAAACACAGCATTGCATCCATAGCAACCAAGAGCATCCCTTTTCTCTTCAAGATGAGTTAATAATATAAATCACTCTGGTTCTTTTTTATTGAATTGCAAGTTTTTTTTTTTTTTTTTTTTTTTTTTTTTTTTTTTTTTTTTTGTGTTTATTTGTTGAATCTGTGATCAAACCATATTTTGTCCATTGATTGCACAACATCATTTCAAGGATTCATGGAGATCCAGACCATTACAATTTCTAATTACTAATTTAAAAAAATTAAGTGTGATTAAAAAAATCTAATTACTAATTAGTTATCATAATATTAAGATAGTTAGCATAATATACAATTTTTTTTTTTTGAAGTTCAAAACACAAAAATCTATTAAAATGATATGTAAGTAAATTTATAATAATTTATTCTGATTCTGGGTGTAAGTAAACGCATAAATGAGATTGGGTCTGATTCTGAGAACATAAGTAAACAGTTTATTCTAACTCTGATTCCTGTCCACTATGATTTATGTCAACTCTAATTACGGATAAATAAACATGTCATTAGTTTTATTTTGCTTCTATAAAGCCAATTTTTTTTTTTGGTTCCCTATTTGTGCGTTGTTATATGTTATTGCTTGCAGTGTTTGCATACTTGTTGTGTAAATAACAAAGGTAGTCTCCCTAATATTTGAGGTTGGTAGTGTATTTTGTCCACTAGTTTTATTCATGTGGTGTAGTTAGTGGCCTTTTATTATAAGTCTTTTAAGTGATGTTTAGTTTAAGATTTTGTTTGGTTTTGAATTAAGATTTTTAATTTTGTTATAATATTTTTTTTAATAAAAAATTAAAATTTTAAAAATTAAAATTATAAATCATAATTTTAAACTCATAAATCAAACGCTACTTTAATCTTGATCGATTGAAAAATATCCGTATAGAGGTATTATTAAAACAATTATTAAAACAATTATTTGTGTACTTGATATTTAATGTGCCTATTCAGTATCCTATTAACAGCACAAATTTCTTCCCCTCTAAGTGTTTTCATTTCAAATTATTGGTGGATCAAATCTTTAAGAAATATGAATAAAAATTAGGAAATATGAATAGTAACACTATTCATATTTCCTAATTTTTATTCATAAAAACCTCAAAAAAAAAAAAAAAAACAACTTTTCTCCGAATATTAAAAAAAAAAAACGAGAGAGAAATTAAAGAAGGAAAGACGACAAGTGGAGATCAGGAGTTCGCAGTAGAATCGGAAGCTCACTCCAGATTGGTATGGCGACTTCGAATGAGGTCGGGGCTCTGCCCCAATTCCTCACCCAACCGAAACACAGCCATCTCAAACAGCACAAACAAAGCTCCCTCGTAAGCACTCCCCATCGGAAGCACCGGCCGAGATTTTTCCTCCGCCGCCGCCTCTCCGCCGTCGTCCGCCATGGTCTGCGCCGGCACGTGACCGACCACGCTCGCGTGCCTCACGCAGGAACCCGTCTCCGGCTGCGCCGTCAGCAGCAGTACCCTCGCGCCGTGCGATATCGCGAGCGCGCACAGCGCATCGACGGTGGAGAATCCGCCTGGGCCGGCGGAGGCGATGAGGAGGTCCCGGCCCGTTATCGGAGGCGTGGTCATGTCCAAGACGAAGTGGGCCTGGGCTCCCAGGTGGCAGAGGCGCATGCACAGGGCCTTCAGCATTAGGCCCTCCCGGCCCACTCCGTAGAGGAAGACCCGGCCTTTTCTGGCCACTGCAGAGGAGATTTCCTCCACCAAGAGATCCAACACTGGCGGGTGTTGGGGGTCCGTGGGTTTGGAGAAGATATTGACTATTTGATTGCAGATTTGTGAGGCGAGAGAAGCCATTGATGATGGAGAAGCCATTTTTGCTGTGTGATGTGAAGTTGGGGAATGTGGAGTTTTGGGCATATAAGATAAGGGAGGGGTTAAACTGAAGAGTTTGAGGATAAAACAAAGGTTGGTTGTTCTTGTTTGGAATAGGGACCCCGGACCCACTCTCTCTTGTTTACAGCGGAGAATTTAGGTTAAAAATTAGGTTTATGATTCAAAATTATAATTTAGAATTATTTTTAATTTATATATATTTTTTATGAGAAAAAAATATTGTAATGAGTCATAAATTATAATTCGCACTATATTATATATTTTTATTATAAACGCAATATAAGTTCACATGAGAAAAAAAAAATACTGTAATAAAAAAATTTAAATTTAAATTTTTATTAAAAAAAAATATATTAAAAAATTTGAATTTTGATTGGAATAGTGAAACGACCTTGATGAGTATAATTCAAACGTAGGACAAAAAAGAAGGGCCGTGATACTACTCACTTGTATTTTTACTACGTCAAAGTTTAATTATTCACCCTTGACAAATTTATATTAAAATTAAAGAGATTTTTTAATAGATCTTGAAAAAATAAATTATTAAGGTCTCATTCATGTCACATCTAACTTTTCTGCTACAGTGAAAAGTTTTTAGAAAATGTCACATCTCAACTCGAATTGAAAATTCAAATCTGCGAAGTGAACGAGACCTAAATATGTTTTTAACTGTTAAATTTATATTAAAAAATTATATATTTTACATATTTTTTAATCTAATATGAGTCCTTATTAGAAAAAGATACAAGACACAAACTTATATATTTAATACTAATTCTCTAAAAGTGAATTAATTCACCACCATCATCCAAAGCAGCCCACTTGGAAAAGTGAGATCTTAGTCGTTGATCATAACAGATAATGCAAATTAAGAAGTTAAAGCTATATTTAAGAGGTGATTCATTTCAGAACATGTACTTGGAAATCAGGCGTTGAAAACTCGTTCATGTGACGTGTTCTTTAAAAAAGAAAAGAGAAGAAAAGAAAAGAAAAAGAGTTCTAGGACGCTTGGTAGAGGGATTCGTTCCCTGATTCGAATCATGATTCATGATTCGTTACAGTATTTTCTTTCATAAAAAATTCACGTAAATAAAAAATGATTCGAATCACATGGTTTGAATCCTCCAACCAAACGTTCTCGAATCATGTAAATGGGCAATTATTTGAACAATATATTTAAGTGTTTGGTTCAATAATCACAGTTTGAGCCTTTTTAATTTGAATTGTAAAATCTGAATTGTTGTGATTTAAATTATGATTTAAACTGTTATTTGAATACGTAAATAAATTATAATTTGAATTGAAATTAAAATTTAAACTATGTTTGAATAAAATGTTAAAAACTGTCATTAGAATTTTATAAAATCTTTATAAATGACATTAAAAAATATGCAACATGGATGAAAATTTATAATTCTCTTCATTATGAAGATATTAAAAAAAATTATTTTAATTAAAATTAAAACAAAAAAATTATAACATTTTTAAGATTTAAGTCAATGAGAGACAATAAAAAAGTGTTTATTTCACTATAGTAAAACCATTCGGATGGTTTGAATTCAAAGGGAGAGAGGGTGTATGAATTCTGATATGGTTTGAGAATGATTTAAATTGGCCATAGTGATTTGAATGACCCCTTATTTTTGTTGATCCAAACGTCTATTTGAATTGTTTAGAACGGTTAGAATTGGACCCAAAGTCCCAATAGCTGAAACAAACTACCCATTAAGCATTCCGAAAAGCATTCGGAAAAGCATTGTTGTTACAAAGCCTTGTTTGATGAGGCAAAAAGTGAAAGACGAGAACAAAACAATACCATTTATACACGGATAACACATATGTGGGTGGACAAGAATTGTCCCAAAAGCCATACAATTTGTGTAGAAAAAAGTGCGAAAAGTCCTGTGTTAAAATTAACTTTGCCAGGCTTGATTAAACTCCATTAGCTGGAGGTCCAGAGGGTTTGTGAGGAAAACCAGAAGTCCCACCTTCTTCGATGTCTATATCCTGCACACCAGCAGTTAACGAAGAAGACGAGTCATTTCTCCCCCGCTTATCCACCTCATTATCATCATCATCTTCATCTTCCAGAAAAGAACCCTTCCTCCGGTGTTCTTTTACTTTCCAGAACTCATCATAGTGAGCTTTTCTGTGCTCACTGAAAGTCTTACTGCTTTTTTCTGTTTCTGAATCTATCACAAGTCCCAACAGAAAAAGGCATAGAAACAACATGAAATCAGAGTTTGAGTTAAAAATCTGCCTCGTTCAGTTCGTCGATTCGAGTTTTTAATTCGAGCTGAGATGTGATTTTATGTGAGAGCTTTTAACCGTAATAAAAAAGTTAGATGTTACTTTTTATGAGCTTTTAACTGTAACAAAACTGGAATTGAAAACTTAAATCAATGAAATGATTACTCTAAAAAGCAGGGGATGAAATCAGCCCCATTTGGCTCCCTGACCAGCAAAGGGACATATGTAGTGCAGTAAATTGGGCAGCAAAACATACAATTCGAAAAAATAGTAGCAACCTCCAGTACGTCATGCTAGTGTTCTTAAAAGGGAGCAAGAGGTTAAAATTTGTAGCAAAGACATTTTTTCTTGAGCCTGTATTTTATCTCATATCAAATAGCTGTTATCATAGACATCTTTAACAAGCCAAAAATGAAAACAAGAAATGCAAAAAAGAAATGTATTAACTGAACTGTACCGTTTTAACAGTAAGGTGATCAAAATCACTAAGCTAGTAGGATTGAACAAAAGATTGAAAGAAAATTTCATAGGACGAAAAGTTGTAAGCAATGCTGAATGAAAAAAATAATAATAATAAATAATGATCTAGAGAATGGATAGATGAAAACCTTCATCATCTTGTTCCATAGCATCTGCCTCATCATCGGATGATGTCCATCCCCCAGATCCCCGGGGATTCTTTCTACTGGATGATGCCACATCACTCAGAGCAGTTCGTATTGCTTCTGCGTCGACAGCATCATCGATGCAATCATTGAAGCTGCCTCGTATAGGAGATAGAGATTCTACATTCATCAGCACAATTAAGGTTACGCTGAGAGAAACAGAATTTGAGATAACCAACAGTTGAATTGGAAACCATGTAATTACCACACAAATTGAAAATTTCAGTACAATTGAAAGCCGCATTATCCCCACAAATAGTGACACTTTCCAGTTCAAAATCAGACAAGCACCTTGATACATATGCATACAAATGAATCAGATGGAGCTCTGCAGAATGAGAATAAGAAAGAAATCAACATACCATCATCATCAATCATGGGGTGATATGGTGTCTTAGGCTCAGTAATTTTCTGCCTCACAGGTTTATTCGCTTCAATTTCACCCAAATTATCCTCATCCCATCGTACTCTGCTCCTGCTTCTCTCGCTTTGAAGAAACAGAGGCCAAATGATCAGAATATCAAACAAAATTGATTACAGAGGCAAGAAATGACAAAGTTAATGAATGGAGAAAGAGTAAACTACTTCATTTTCGCTGAACAGGTGACCTCTTCACACACCAAAAAGCACTCCAAGCAAATGACTTAGATTTCACAGAAACAAACTGCAACAATATTGTAAAATTCTCAAAATCAAGCATCAACTTCCACATATTAATGCCAAATTGGCAGAAAGAATGAAAAAGTTTTAAAAACGGAGTATTTTAGAACACGCACATAAGAAATGGAAGGTCAAACATCTAAGTAAAATCCCAATATCATAGATCCTTATTCCAAACCCAAAAGCTTATTGAATTATTAAACCTAATCTCGCAACCCCAACTTCAAGCAAAATGACAAACACAATCGAAGCTGTTTTCATTCTTATGGCCAACAACCGCAAGCTCAGGCGTAACCAAAACAAAGATCTCCTTCTCCTTGTCACTCTACTGTTTTGTGTTTTCCCCAAAAACTAATAGGACTGTTTATTATCTCCATTGTTCCCACAGGCTCCTCAATGTCTCAATCTCATCTTCACAAGGCAAACACATTTTGCAACTTATAACAACCACGTAATAACCCAAATTGGGAAACTCTACCATAACTACTTTTAACCAATGAGCTAAGATTTGCATTCCAATCCAAAGCAACTCAATTTTGAGATTTTGTAAACTCTATGGGTGCGTTTGGAATTAGTTTTAGATTATTTTAAAAAGGATTTTACACGTCTTTTAAGATACGAAAATGAAAACGGTTTACAAACCGCTGTTTAGCAAATGTTTTGAAAACGAAAACGAAAATAAAAAATCATAGGAATAGTTTTTATGAATGAATTAGAAAACGGTTGATGTTATTTTCCCATTTCTGTATTTATTAACAATATTATAATATATTAATTAATAATTATAATCAAAAAGACAATTTTACTTTTTTTATTATCCTCAAAATAATCCCTTAAAAAATCAGACAAAATCGGTCTTCATGAATAATTCTCAAAACAATTTCATTTTTATACTAAAAACAAAATTATTTTGAAAAAATTACCAAATGGGTCCTGTGAAATCTCGTCCCATCATAGAAACAACTCAATTTTGAGATTTCGTAAAATCCATAACATAAACACTCGCATCCCCTCAAAGACCCGGTTTTTCCACCACAAAATCCCAACTTCAAACAAAACTTACAAAAAAAAAAAAGAAACAGAAAACCAACTATGGAGGAGCTTGCCTTACAGGTGGCCCGAAATCGGCTCGGAAGGAGGGCTGGCTATGCTGCTCGCGAAGGCAGGAAGACTGAGGGAACGGCCTCTACTGTTCGGGGGATCACTACACAGAGACGGATGTGAGCCCTAGGGTTCTTTCACAAATCGTGAATAACAAAACTCGAAACAGACAAAAGGGGGGCAGATGTTTTTCTTTTGTCGAAAAACGACATGTTCGTGTACTGAAAAGCGACACTGTGATCCCTTAATAAAAGCGACACATCGTTTTTCTTTAGGAAGTCTGTAGTATCTACCATGTCTATTATAAGATCGATGTATATACCATGTAGGGTTTTTCTTTTTCTTTTTCTTGAACGAAAATATGCTATGTAGGTTAATGTTCACAAGCTTGTTACCAAATCAACAATATGCACTATCGTTTCTTCTTGAACACATTTACTTTTTGTATTTTTTTGAGTTAGGGTAACTTAAATTTAAATATTAATTTGAGTTAAGGTGTATTTGAGTATGATTTGAATTGTGACTCTAATTTAAATTTGTGTTTGGATGTGTACATTTCGATTTATGGTTTAAATTAAAAATCTATTTGAGTTTGTATTTGGGTGGGTCAAAACTTGAATTTATATTTAGATAGTATTTTAATAAAAACTCAATAGTGATGAAAAATTTTAATCAGAAATATGGGTGGAGTTTTATACATCTTTTCATTGTGAACACATAAAAAAAAACATCTCAATGAATTACAACGAAAAAGCTATGTTGTTTTTAAGAATAGAAAAAATATTATTTATTAACTTGAGTTTGAGTTTATGAACTTGAGTTGAAAGGGGAATTTGAACTCAGATTTTAGCCCCAAACTCAAATTAAAACTCAAGTTCAAACTCAAATTTACAAAAAAAAATATGAATTTAAATAAAGTTATAATTTGAGCAATTTTTTTTTAAATTTAAATACAAATGAATAAACCGGTATAGCCACATGTCATTTGTTGTTTAAACTTTTCGTAACATTTAGCCAAATAAAAAAATATAAACTTAAATAAAGTTATAATTTGAACAATTTTTTTTTTTGAATTTAAATGCAAACAGCCACGTGTCGTTTGTTGTTTAAACTTTTCATAACGTTTAGCCAAAAATAGGGTACACCTTTTTTTTGTCTTAAAACATTTGAACCAAATGACATGCCGATTTTCTCATCATTTTTTTATTTAAAAAAACGATATCTTGGTTCCTTTCGGGGGACATATGCCGTTTGTTCACCTTTTCTTTTTCGAATTGCTGTCGTTCGTCGTTTAGAAGTTTGCTGTTCTTAATTCTTGGGCCAAGCAGTAAAAATGTCGTTTTTCTATAAAAAAAAGTTTAGTAACGTCGTTTTAAAAAAAATGAATGTCGTTTATTTATTTATTTTTTGAAGTGGTTTACGTTCTCAAAAAATAGCGTGCCCTTATAAAACGACACGTTGTGGTTTAGTGTCGTTTAAGATCTATTTTAGCTGTTTTGGACTTCTACCGCGTGGATCTGAAGACGTCATCACAGGACCTCCGGATGGTGAGTCTTTACATGACATCGCGATCTGAAATTTGTCACGAAAGGGCAATACGGGAAGAACGTGAAAAAAAATTCTCAAAAGAGAGAGAAAAAAAAAAAGAACGTGAAAAAAATATTGAGGAACAAAATTTAGGGAGTTTTATTATTGTTCTTCAGAGCTCTAGAGTCTAGACTATCAGCGGCTCCTCCTTTCTCAACAACCCATTCCACTAGAGTACGTATCTGAATATTTATTTCCTCGTAATTATTTTGATTTTTTTTTTTGTATCTTTGTTACGATTCAACATTCGTTCTCTTGAATATGGATCCGAACTATATATGATAATTCTTTCTTGATCTGGGTATTTTTTCTTTCATGGCTATGAATTTTAGCAACTGGGTAAGTGCTAGTTTTCATTTTTATGTCGCTAAGTATTTTGGGTCATTCTTTTCTTTCTTTCTTTCTTTCTTTTTTTTTTCGTGATATTACTTAGAGATCCCATTTAATTCCCGTTTAATTATTTTTATCTGATGAATTATTCGATTGCTGTGTTGGTTTCCGGTTGTATCATCATCTTTTTTTTATTTTTATTTTTATTTTTGTAGTTTCTGTTTGAAGTTGGGATTTTTTGTGGTAGAAATACCAAGTCTTTGAGGAGATGTTAACGTTTCTGTTATAGTCGTTCATTTCCCTTTGCTTCTATGATGGGGCGGGATTTCATTCATAGATTTTACAAATCTCAAAATGGGTTGCTTTGGAATGTAAAAATTGTAAATCTTAGCTCATTGGTTAATAATTGTTATAATAGACAAAACGCCTTTGTTCCCGATTCCGCTTTTTAAAACTATGATTTCAATTTCATTAAGCATATCCTTTTCTTTGCCTCTGATTATGAGCATTGTATTCCGTTTTCAGATTTTGAGGTTGCGAGCTTAACTAAGATCGAGGTAGATGTTATGAATTCCTTCTCCTTTTCGACTTGAAGGTTGAAAAGGAACAAATACTAAGGAAATCTAAATAAGACAAGAGATGTTTTCATTGTTTTATGGACTCTGGAAATACATATTTAGTAAGACGGAGTTTCATGTCCTCATTCTTGGAGTCGACAAGGCTGGGAAGACTGTAATGCCTCTTCTAATGTTTTGTTTCTTTTTATACTTTGTTTTTGTAGTTATGAAATGCTCTTCTCTTCCAATTGATGGACTTTGCATTTTTTAGACATTCTTAACAAATATTGCGTCTAATTCCATTGATTATTTCGTAGACTTTACTGGAGAAGTTAAAGTCAGTGTACTCAAACCTTGAAAGCCTGCCTCCGGATCGAATTGTTCCAACAGTGGGACTAAATATTGGTCGAATAGAAGTCTCAAATACAAAGCTTGTTTTCTGGGATCTAGGAGGCCAGGTACGTAGATTCTTATTCTTTTTCCTCTATTACAGAATTACAGATTATTGATTTTCTTCTTTTATCTCTGTGTTATTCCTAGTACCTGCTAGCCTTTCAAATGTTCAATTGAGGGAAAGTATACCTTACTCTCTTCCTCTATGCATAGAAAATTAGAATCTGGAATGTTATATCATTTGATGTTATTTTCACTGATGTACTTGTTTCCCAATGTAAAGTAAGAACATAAGATGTTCTAGAAATAGTTGAGTTATTATCTTAAATTGTCTTCCAATTAAGACCTTGTAAGCTGCACATTTAGACGGCATTGTGAAGTTTGTAGCTGCCCTTTACGATCACGTGTCTATGTAATTCGCAATTGTTCTTGTATGTTTCATGCTTTGTTTAATCCGGGTGGGACTTTTGGGTATTTATCAATACAAGCACATTTTGAGGATTTCAAATATAGGCAACTGAGTGCAAGTTTGAGTATTCCTTTATTACTTAGAACTTTTCTGTTGATGTGACAATTTGAATCATTCACCTGGGTCACATGTGTAATTATGGAAAAGAGTAGCTATATGCGTCTCTAGTAGGTTTTTCAAGGAAAAGAAACTCCCAGGAGAAAGGCAAAATGTGAAATGGAGTTACCGGAGTTTGTTTCGAAACTTTAAGTTTGTTGAATTGTTAGTTGCTGGGTAGTTTTAGCTTTGTTAGAGTGGCCAGCCAAGTTAAATGGTATATTAATGTGCTTGTGTAACTGAACGGCCTTCCTTTTCTCCGCCTCATTGGATGGGGATATAGTAGTATTCATACAAAATTTATCAATCAACTTGTTTATTCATTCTGACAGCCTGGTCTCCGTTCAATCTGGGAGAAATATTATGAAGAGGCACATGCAGTTGTCTACGTAATTGATGCTGCATGCCCATCTCGCTTTGAAGATTCAAAATCCGCATTGGGTAGGTTTCTGATTTCCAGGTTTTACATAATTTAGTGTTGGATAATTGGTTTGTTTCTATAGAAGTGAAGCGATAGAAGAAACAAAATACAATAAGGTGCTAATTACATCATTCTTCAACTTGTCAAACCAGAAAAAGTTTTGCGCCACGAGGATTTGCAAGGAGCTCCTCTTCTGATATTGGCAAACAAGCAGGTGAGTCTACTTGATTGCGCCTTCTTCGGACACAAAGGTTGCTGTACTTTTCATCCAATTTAAGAACAGCTTTGTCATAAATGCTAGAATGTTGAGCTTGCGCTATATACGGTGTCTGAGCAACAAGAACTTGACAATGTTTTTGTTCTTAATTTTGGCCATTTGGATGCCCAAATTCTTGTAATTATACATTCTAGTGAATCAAAATCAGTTTGGAATTTGCTCTTATGTGAATACACGCTTTTGCATTGTGAGTATGTGATCCTTTTCTATAAACAAATTTTGGAAAATGCTTAACCTTCTGTTTTTGAGATTCTTCTTTAATTCTGTCTAATATAGCTCAAAAAATATAGTTTTACTTGGATGCTAAGGGAAATAATAGCTTCCATATTTCTTTTTGTTAAACGTGGTTTTGAGAAGAAACTGCACAGTTGCAAGTCATTTTTCTGTTGCAAAATTAGTCACTTTCATTTTATCAAATAATTTAATGTAGGACCTAGCTGAAGCTGCATCGGGTGAGGAGCTTGCTCGGTATTTAGACCTTAAAAAGTTGGATGAAAGGGTTTACATGTTTGAAGCCGTTTCAGCATATGATGGGTAAGCAAACAGTTACCGAACTTCCCTTTTCGTTCCACTCGTATTGCCAATCTCCTATTCTCTGATTAACACTGAAGTCTTACACAAGACAAACTTGCTTATGTATTGAAAATCGATTGCAGGCTGGGAATAAAAGAAAGTGTAGAATGGTTGGTGGAGGTAATGGAGAGGAGCAAGAGAACCGAAATGTTGAGAGCTCGGACAAGTGCAATGGGCCCTGCTTCTGTGTGAAGGAATGATACTAAAATGCAGTTATTTTTTTGTCTGGATTCTGTGACCTTTTCTTGTGTAGATAAGTCGGGTTTAGTTCCATATCTTCAGATAAAAAGCTGATCATTTTTTTTTATTTTTTATATATATATCTCAGCCACGAGCTGCTTAACTCTGCAGTGAAGATTATCAGTTCATATATTTACTTTTTTCAAAGACATACTTGGTACTCAAAACTAGAAAAATGCTAAACATGCGTTTATATGTGGCCATTAAGATCACGTCAAAGATTACATCCCCAAAATTGAAGTCACTGTTTGGAAACACTTGACACACTTGATAATCCACAAGCTTTGATCTCACTTGTTCTCCAATTGTTTGACTGAAAAACAAATCAAATTCTCCAAAGATTGTGCTTTTTATAATGCATTTCAAGCTATTTTGTTTGGCACCACAGCATCCCCCGCCTTGACTCTTCCTTTCACGGTTGGTTGCGGTTCTGCAGGAAATACGAATTTTTAAAAATAATAACAACAAAAAGTATAGAAATTTGGAATAATTCAAACAATTGGAACAGTTCAGGGATACAATTATGGCTATTTGTTCAAATAAATCATCTCAGCTGAATATACAGAAAATTGCAAGCTTTCAACTCAACAAGGCACAAAATTTAGAAAAATTTCTGAACTTTTTATCGTAGATCTTTTGATTACCCACACTCTTTAATAATCAAAATTGAAAAAAAAAAAAAAAAAAAAAACCGTACTGGAAATGAGGGCTTTGGGTCTGGTCTTGAACAAAATCCGGTGCCGAATAACTCCGATGACCTCTAGATCCACTTTGGAAGAATCATTATCCACTCCGATCGGATCTGCATTCGATTGCTTGAATTTCTTGAGAACCAACATCGGCTTCTTCAACGACACTTTCGTTCCCGTCAATTCATGGTACCCAACTGTGAATGTGTATATCTCCTAAAAACCATCGGAAAATCAGTAAAGAAAGATTTTTTTTTCCCCTGTCGTAATTGGGAAAAGAAGTGTCGGTTTAAGAAAATGGAACCTGAGAAGAAGGGCGGCAGAGAACGCCGATCTGGAGGTTATGGATGCGATCTTGGAAAGCGGGCTGAACTTCCACAGCTCCTTGGAGTTCTACGATCGCCCACTCTTGGCACTTCTCTCCGCAACTGCACTTTATCTGAATCTGCATTTTTTTTTTTTTTTGAGCCCGTGGTTCTTAAATGTCAGCTTTATATATATAAACAGCCGATTAGGGATTTGCCTACCCTCGAAATCTGGTATTTTCCCGCCTTTTTCATTCTTCATGGCTTCTCTTTTTCCTTTTATGTATTTTTTAAGAACCTTTTTATGCTTTATTTACGCTTTTACCCTGATTGAGTGACTTGGTGAGGAAGAGTTCCCAACGGTTCTATATGTCATTTCACAATACCATAATTAAAAAAAATAATACTTTCTTTGTTTATTCAAATAACATCATATTGTCAAATGTAACGGCATGTCCTTGTGTACAATTAAGGAGTATTTCATGGTAATTGACTAATTTCTGGTATTCATAAACAAATATCAACGTTAACATTATAATTTTACTGGCAAATAAACATTATAATTTATACTATCCTTGAAAAATGAAAATGGAACAAACGTTTGTTAACATGAAAGACAAGTTAGAAACTCAAAGCTGTTACAGTAATTTGCTAATGGAATGGCTTAGGGATAAGATGAAGATTTACTGGGGTTTCCTGATTCATATCTTGCTGAAAATTGAATTAATGCAAGTTTTTTTCTGCATAAGCTTGGAGGTCAAACAGGACGGATGCCCACAAAACCAATAGGATCAACAGACTGAAAATAAAACCTACAGTTAAATCACTGCCTTGAGTGCCAAGCTAACTAAGCTAACCATCTGTTTCTCTCAATTACATAACATGTTCAGATAAGAGATTTTCACTGGCACAGCCAAAAAGTGAGAGAACAAAAGGTAAAAGGTTAGAAGCCCTGGGAGTTATATCTTTGTACAAACTTCTAGTCATTTTCTAGGCAGATTTCCTATTGTTGCCGCTCATTGTCTTTCTTTTCCACGTCGGTTCAGCTCAGATCTGTCAGAATTTCGTAAACTGACAGTTCCACTGTGTGGGACTTGAAGTTCTTGCTGAAACCCAGGCTTCTCGACATCACAGGATTGCTGGCATGAGAAATCGGTTTGGACACTTGTGAAGCTCATTTCATCACTTCCTTGGGTTTTTGACCAGCTTGGTTGCTGCTGAAAGTTTTGCTGGATGTTTGGATCATAGTCAAGCGGAATCGCATCAGTCAGCGTTTTGATTGCAAATTCAATGCATGGGTCTTGCCATGCCCTGCAAAAAGAAAAATCAGTGGGGGATCCCAACTTCTCGTCATTATTGGCGTCATTTTCAATATTTGTGGCATGTTCTTCCAGAGAAACAGCAGCACATCGATCTTGTTCTCCGTTGATCTTACTTTCTGTTTCTACCTTTCCAAAAATCTCCACAGCCAAGTTCGCCGATGAATGCTCACTACTTGTGGACCTAGGCAGAACTTCTGAGCTCTCTGAATTATCAAGGGGTAATCCAGTTAGAGTTTTTATTGCAAATGCGATGCATGGATCCATCAAAAATTCGCCAGGAGGCAAGTCAAGAGGGGCTCCTGGTACCATGTCTGCCTTATCATACGGAGAAATCTGATTCTCCAAGGGCAAAACAGGAAACATTTGCTTCTCATCATAATTAACTATTGTTTCCAGCTTTCCAACCTGCTTTTCTGAGGTGACCAAGTTATCACAAAAATTCTTGCTTCTATTTGAGAGTTGAGAAAATTTTGAGCTCTTGGAATCAGTCTCGGGCTGATTACATTGTGCTGAATTGCCAGGGGAAGAACCTTCACTTGTATCAGCTGCTCCATCACCCAAATGTTTAACTGCAACTCGGCGTGCTCGAGTTCTGGGCTTTAGTTCCGGTATGGGGTCAACTTCAAGTCCAGCTAACCGTTTTGAAGCACGGCGTGGCAAGTCAGGTACTATCTTTTTCCTGGATTTTCGCTCGTCAGGTTGGCGCTTTCCGCTTTCATGGGATTCCTTAATTGGAAGGACTTCATCAACTGCCGGAACTGAAAAAAATTTACTTTTAGAAGAATCACCCTTTTCTCCTTTTTGACCCAAATCTTTTGATTCTTGCAGATCTGAGTTTCTTAGTTCAGTGCCTCCCTCGCCTGCAGCAAGGTATAAGGTCATTTAAAAAACCGAGATCTCAACCCAGTAACGAGGAGTGAGGATCAGCCACTCGTATTGAAAGCAGAATGTCCTACATCTTAATTCATGTAGCTAATTAATGTTCCTTTCTGTGAATTAGACACTCCAAATTGCAACAATGAACATAAAGGGAAAAAAAGAGTTTCTTAAACTCATCTCCATGAGCAGGGAAGTACACAGGAGAGAAACAAATATACAGAAAGAGAAAAAATAAATCGCAACCTCCAAGAAATATCGCAATTTCCAGAAAAACTGAATGATAAAAGAAGAATGAAAAACAAAAGAGTGAAGTAGAGATGAAGTCAACGCCTTATTTGGAGAGGGAATAGGAACTTTACGCAGCTCAGCAGCATGATCCGAAAGGGGTGAGGGTTGAGATGACGAATTATGTACTCGCACTTCCTGCACTGTCTTATTCATGTCCGAGCTCCGATCAAAATTAATCAGTCTTCTTGTTCTGCTGACTCCTAATTGCTGTTCCTGCACTGTCTTATTCATGTCCGAGCTCCGATCAAAATTAATCAGTCTTCTTGTTCTGCTGACTCCTAATTGCTGTTTCTTGCTCACATCAGTTGACTAAAGAAAAAGGAAAAAAATACTTGAAAATTTTCACCTGGCACTGCATAGTGCAATAGGAAATAATCTAATGAAAAGTACTATATCTACCACCGAAGCCACCAATTAAAAAAAAAATGAGGCCAAGTAATACATTGTTGTCAGTTTCAATCTGGACAGCATGCTTAAGAATATGATGTCAATTTCAATTTAATTAGGTTGCTACTTTAAACGACGATTTACACATGAAATCCTTGACAGTTTTCAAGACCGTGATCTTAATCTTTTATTTTTCACCGCTAGATGCTCAGAAATTTCACCTGGATTCATATCATAGTGAGCAATCACTTCTGGCCTAATAAACAGCAGATAGGGAGATTCCAAGTGCTCATAATTGTTACAAACGTTGCTGAAGATGACAGCAGCTGATCAAAATCACATACTCGTGTTTTTTAACAATAGTAAAACCATGTACAACAGACCAAGTTATAGGAAAAAGAAGAAGAAAAGATAAAGGTAACATTTTGGTGTTTCCAAGTTAGATGCAGCAATTTGTGCCCAATGTAATGAATAGATAAATTAAAAGATGCTTAGACGCGCTCCTTTTACCAAATTCACTAAAGACTAACCTCGCTAAAAATCTTCCCGAGGTGTCGCATTAAGTTTTTTTTCTTTTCAGTTCCTATTTCTCAACTCAATATAGCCCATTTATCCATATGAACCGGCAACCCTAGAATGCTAACTTGAGCACACTTACAAAGGTACAATCGTCTTCTGAATCCTTATGAATGCTGCCTTCTGAATTCTGTGTGAGCGTTCCTAGCTCCTCAGTTTTGAGGTGCCGGTTTACAGCCTTCAACGAGCGGAATACGTTTTTGCTCACAGGATCAAAGTAAAACTGCATATATGAAAATGTAACTCAAAGAATAAACAAAAATTCGAAAAGTTTGAGCGCAAACCACCTGGAAATAACAGGTGATTCAACCAAGAAAATCCGCAACAAACACATTTTACATAGAAAGGATTTTCAAGTATGAGCTCAAACTAAAAAAGACTAATAAGTTAAGATTGATAACAACAAATAAGAATACCAAAGAGAGAATAAAATATGGAGTACCGGGTCTTTTCTAATTGAATCACCCCTTTTCCTCACTCGGATTTCTTTGATCCACCCTGGTGGTAACCCTTCTGCTTCACCCTTCTCAACTACTACCTAAATTGCATCAACAAAATGCTTCAAAAAATCTGAATAAACAATAAATTTATAAATATTACTTTGAAAAATTAAAGAAAAGAGGGAACAGAGAAAAGTTTGTGTTAACGGACAACTTCTCCAGATTGCTTCAAAGTTGCTTGATTCTTCTTTTTTGCTTTGAAATAGTCGGTTTGTTTTGTATTGAAAAGATAACGAGATACTTCTGCCCTGGAATTAAACGTAGGTCCATTTGAGGGAGCATGGTAATACTGCAATAAGCATAATTATTTGATTATAAACAACTGAACAGATAATTAATCTAAGCTGAATGAGGACTGACAATTACAGAATATTTTTGTTGGACAAAACTCCAAAACATGTGGAAAAGACACTGAAAATGAATAGAAATCTTGTTTAATTTGCATTTAGGCAAAAACCGAGCTTAATCCAACACAACTCAGAGTTTGTCTCTAAAACAAAAATCAAGAATTAAAATATGTCACATTCAAAGCATGCATGTCAATAGAGTATCTCTTATAATTATATCACAATCTGAATCATATGAGTCAATCCAAATACACAAAATTTAACTTCCAAAATTAGGAAAAATCTATAAAAAAAATGTCATTAATTATATGGCCATAAACCTCCATGCAAATGCATGCTGTTCAACATCTAATGAAGAACTACTTACTAGGGCATTTACTTAAAACCTTTCAATTACCCCCTAACCTCTGCAAACACAAAAAAAAGTACTCCATCATCTAATGCGGAAATTCCAAGATAAAAATAAACCAAATAACTAATTAAATTAAAACTTCAGAAATTAAAATAATAAAAAAAAAACAACTTTAATTAAGACAATGAACTAGAAGCTTTAAACCCAAAGTCAGTCCAAACAGTAAACTTACTACCCAAAGAAAATATTTCCCAAGTAAAGAAAAGAAAAGCTGAAATTTTATAGCAAAAAAGGAAAGAAAAAAAAAAAGAGTAGAAATCTGGTATTTACCTTGTCTTTTTTACCATTATCTCTGACTCTTTCCTTGACAGTCCAACCCGGAGGCAGCCAATCCTCGGATTTTGAATCCGCCATTTTCTCGGACACCAAATTTTTCCGGCGACAACTCTCTCTCTCTCTCTCTCTCTCTCTCTCCCCTAAACTTGTGTCTCAATCTCTCTTTGTTTCTCTCTCCATTGTTCTTCTAGTCAAACTCAAAAATGTCCTCAAAGCTCTTCAAATGTTAGGACAAAAGTGTTCTGAGACCCACGTGTAGCCCAACATCCTGTGTAAGGTTTGATTCATTATGGATTTGTTGTCTTTTTTTATTTATTTATTTTTTTCCTTAATCAGTGTTTGGACAAACTTGCCCTTGCACTTGTAAGAAAGCCAAAATAGTATTTGTTAGGAAATTCGACAAGATTCGCTTTGCCTTGAAGTGAATAATTCTCTTTCTCGTGACTCGTGACGGGGATTCCACAACGGTGGTGGCTGCGGGTACACAGTGAATTAAATTTTATTTATTTTACTAATTTAAATTTAAAATTAGAGTTTTATTATAGTAAAAAAATTTTAAAAATAATTACATTTGATTTTTTTATTATATTAAAAAATTTTTACATAAAATTACATCTCAATTTAAATTAATTAACTAAACAGATCGTTAAATGTTTTACTTATTTAGAAATGACACGTGGCGAGTTCGTGTTCTTTTAATGTTGTGAATCTTTCTGTGCGGAGGAGATGACATGGGAGTATAGATCTAGACAACCACTGAATTATGGCCTCGTTCACATCACGGATTTGAGTTTTCAATTTGAGTTGAGATATGACATTTTCTTAGAGCTTTTTACTGTAGCAAAAAAAGTTAGATATGACATTTTCTGAGAGCTCTTTACTGTATAAACTTAAAATTAAAAACTCGAATCGGTGAAATGAATGATGCCTTATATGCCTTAGAGTTGGATGCCACTTGTACCGCTCTCTGTACTAGACAATTTATTTCCAAAGTACCCTCTGGCGCTAACATTTGCTCACGTGGCCCGGATGCCAATAGTGGGACTTCTTTTTTTTAGTATTTTTTAATTAATTATCTTTTTGCTGGGTAGAAGTTGAAATAATCTCGTTCATTTCACCGATTCGAGTTTTCAATTTTAAATTTTTTTAGTAAAAAATTCTCATAAAATGTCAACATCTAACTTTTTCTACTACAATAAAAAGCTCTTATAAAATATCACATATCAGCTTGAATTGAAAATTTGAATCCGCGAAGTGAACGAGAAGCCTCTTAATTCTCCTTTTAGCCCTTAAACACAGCAGTGAATTCTATGGATAGATCAATCTAGGTTTGATTTAGCGGATTAACTGTCTTGAGACAAAAATAGTGAAGATCACAATCATAAATATGGTACACACAACAACATCTACCTTAACATAACAAAACATCCACTACAATAAACAAAACGGTCTGAACTAAGCAAAACAACTTGAATGTACAAAACATCCTTTACGATAAACAAAACAGTCAATCACAAGACAGAACACGTACTTGGAGGAAATAGGAAGAACACAGAAAATAAGCCTAAAGTTTAATTGACCATATGCTACTCTTAGTTCTCTAGTATCGGCACTTGTGTAACAATTACCAAAGGTTGACTTTTGCTGTCCCAGAAAAAACCATATGATATACATCTCTGAAGTTGCAATGGAGCAAATAAATCATTCTACACATAGGCTTAAGAAAAAAAAAATCCATGTCTAGTATCTATAACGTGAAACAAAATAGAATAGCTGTTAACTATTTTTACATACAACTAATTGTGAAGAGGGTTTGGTCCTGTGGGAACATTTCGGTGTGAAACGATCTTAGTCTTCCTTGTCCGCAGGGAATTAAGGATTTCTGAATCTCTCTGTGAGAACATGGAAGAAGAATTCTCGTTTCTTGGTCTTTGCTCTTTCTCTTTTCTTGAATCTCTGGCAGTCGAACCACAAGAGAAACGCGCTAAGAAAATGGCAAGAATCAGCAACAGGATCAATGGTTTTTGAACTCTCATGTTTTTGAATGACCAAGAAATTAGCTACAAAAATCAGGCTTAAAGTAGAGGAAATGTGATTTTTTTTTCCCCTTTTTCTTGTGTGCAAATATTTGTTGGAACTTGGAAGGTTGGGAGTCTATTAATAAGAGGGACCAAAGTACAAGTCTCAAAACGGAATGATGCTTTCTTTCTCATCTTTTTCCGTGTCTACAATATGGAAAAAAGTTGACTTTTGGATGAAGTCGTTTTCTTGACATTAAACTATATATACACATAACACCATGTTGACTTTTTCTATTAACTGCTAAAGATTTTCAGTTCTTTGATTTGTTTTTTCCTATTGGGATAGAATGAAGTTTACTGTTTTCCTCGTAGGCATTCTGTCTACTAATGAAAGCGTTAATATTTGACCAATAATACATAATATTAATTGATGAAAAAAGATGACGTTTTAGCACTTTGAGACGTTTGTTATGATAGGAGATAAAATAATTAAAATATGTTTTGATTTTCCGCATAGAGACAATGTGCAAACCGCCATGATTCATTCATTGCTTCACGAAACTGATATTTTGAAAATGCACAATGAATTAGTCTACAAAAACATGAAGCTTCCTAACTATTAAATATATATATATATATGTATATGTATGTATGTATTATGCGACCAAACTCATGATCTCAGCCAGCAGGCGGTTTCAATTAACTATAATGAAAACAAGATTAAGAAGAAACTTGATTCTCATCTCTTGCGTACATGAGATTTGACTTGCCTAAGCTTTTAAATAGTATGTATATTTATCTTTTTGCTTTTTTTTTCTTCCCCATGTCGTTTCCGTGGACTAAACCCAGCTTGGTTTCTTCATGACTTACGGCCCGTTCGGTTGGAGGATTCATTATCTGATTCGAATTATGGTTCATGATTCGTTACAGTATTTTCTTTCATAAAAAACACACGTAAATCGAAAATGGTTCTAATCCATGAACCAAACGGGCTCTTAATGTTAAGCATGGAATTAAAAAAGCAAAAAAATAAAAACAAAACAAAAACAAAGAAAGAAAACTAAGGGGTTGTTCTTTTGTAACAAAATTCATAAAAAGTTTAAATTCGAGTTACAACTTTATTCAAGTTCATGTTCTTTTGTAAAATTTGAGTTTGAACTTGAGTTTGTACTCGAATTTTGGGCTAAACTCGAGTTCAAGTTTCTCCTTCAACTCGAACTCAAGTTAATAAACAATATTTTTTCTATTATTAAAAATGACATAACTTTTTCGTTTTAATTCTAATTGAGATGATTTTTTTATGCATTCACAACGAAAAAACGAATAAAATCCCATTCATATACCATATTAAAATTTTTCATCACCATTGAGTTTTCATTAAAATACTATCTAAATATAAATTTCAGTTTTGATCCACCCAAACACAAACTCAAATAGATTCTTAATTCAAATCATAATTCAAATCTGCACATCCAAGCACAAACTTAAATTACAATTTTAACTCAAATTCAATTCAAGATTATCACTCAAATCATTTTAACTTAAAAATGCAAAAGAACAACTCCTAAAACTCCTCGTGTCTCTAATTTCATAACTTTGTGACATAAGATTTTAGGAGTTGTTCTTTTAGAGTGTAACTTGAGTGTAGTTTTTGAGTTGAATTTGAGTTATAACTTGAGTTGAAGTTAGAACTTGAATAAAGTTGAGTAAAATTGAATAAAATTGAAATGTAAGAGTACGTAAATTTGAATAAAGTTAAAACTTGAATTATCTTTTTTTGGACAAAAGAACATGCCTTAGACTTCTCGGGGACGACGAATATTATGTCTTAATCTTGAATAAGGAAGAACATCTTTGGTATTCGTGGTAACACCTTTGTCGTTTGTCATGCTACAAACATTTTTTTTTTCTTTTTTCTATTCTTTTTTTTTTTTTTTGGCTGAAATGTCCAGCTACATACATGTGTGTACATTTAGCGTACTGAATCCATCATTTCATTTGACTTTCTTGTGTTCTTCAAGTAACATGACACAAAAAGGTTAATAAACAGAACAATCCATTTAAAATTTCCTTAAACCGTCTTGAATTCAAATACTTGGTTCAGAGTTCAAAAACCTCACAACTTCCTCCATGTCCTTTTCGTATTGCCTAATTGTTTGGACAACCAATTGCGGTTTTTTTTCTCCCCCCTTATCCAAGTTCATATTTTCAAGATTTTGAAAATAACCATTCATAATTTCATTCCCTAGCTGCTGCTTTTGACTCGCATGTTGTGGTTTTGGACTAAAAGGGTTTGATCCCTTGGAACAACTCTATAGAAAGGATATGTACATACTTGGTTGAACTTCTTTTGATCTCCAAATTGTGCCTTGAAGCGGAGTAAAAATGGTTGCCTCGTGTGTTTTTTATTTATTTTTTATTTTTTTTCAGTTTGTTTCGGTAGAACAGTATGGAAACAGAGACAACAATGACAAGAAAACGATTACAAATAGAAAAATGACATCAAAAGGTTCAAACGACAGTAAATGTGTAAATTGCGATAAACCTGAAATGGCAGAAAACAAATTATTAGAAACGGCGATAATTTAAAACACGAATCAACGTTTAAGACGGCTTCCACTTTGATAAACAACAGAAAATGAACATGACAACAACAAGAAAACAACAACAAAATGAAGAGATTACACCATTAAAAAAAAAAAGACAATACGACGACAAAACAGCAAACGACAACAGTAAAGGGAAAACGCTGAAAATGTGAAGGCAACTCGACACAAAAAATAATATAATATAAAACGGCAATAGAATTGATTACGATTTTCACTTCGATCAAACGGAAAAACTATGAAAAACATAAAAACGACGACAACAAGAAAGCAACCACACATAGGAAAACGACACCAACGGTCTAACGACGTGAACGTTCAGGCAAAGAAGAAGTTCACTTCCACGAAGAAAACATATGAAGAATGGCAGTAGCAGTAAAAGTAATAATATTATCTCAAAAAAAAAAAAGAAAAAAAAAAGAGGAATAATGTGGAGGCGTCAGCAAACAATAAAGCAACAACAAAAGTTCAAACGGAATAAAAAACGACAGGAACTGGAAAAATGACGGACATTAAACAGACTTTCTCGTGATGAGTGATAACAAAATAGGGAAACCCACGGCAACGTTAAAAACGACAACTAGGAAACGACCACAAAAAATATTTATATATGTAAAAAAAAATTAAAAAAAAAAGGTTCAAACGAAGCAACCAGCAAATAACCGAAACAATGCGAAGAGGACAAAAATATGAATATCGACTGGATATGGGAAAAGGGAGAAAAAATGAACGATGGAAAACATAGAAACGACGATAAAATAAAATTGAACAAGACATTTACCACCTTTACTTCGATAATGAACAAAATATGGAAAAGGACAATAACGGTAAAAAGTAAACAGAAAAGGAAAATGATACCAAATGGTTAAAACGACAATAAATGGAAAACGCTGACTAGCATATAAATCAGAAAACACAAGTTTAAAACCACGATAAAATAGCTGACGACTTTAACTTTGATTAAAGGTACAATTAGAAAAACGATGCGGCAAAAACGTCAACAACGAGGAACAAGAGGAAAACAACACCGAAAGGTGAAACCGACAACAAATAAAGACATCTTCAAAATAACAAAACGACTACGATAAACATGAAAACAGAAACCATAAAAACGAGTTCTTGGATAAACGATAAGATACAAATATGGGCCCGCTTTTCTTTTTTGGTCTTAGATGGTGGATTACAAAAAGACTTAAAAAAACAGAGAATTTACTTTTAAAAATATAGTCTGAATCTTTACTATTTGTACTTGATAAATACCACTCCTTATAAAAGGTTTTCTTTTTTACCCTTACAAAAGATTTTCTTTGTTAAAAGAGAAAAAGACTACAGGACAAAAGATCCGGAGCAACTTTCGCTTGTTGTTGGTGGACCAAGGCTAACCAACCACAGTTCAGGTTTTTGTTAAATTAGTGGAGAATAATTGTGGCAATAATTTACGAAAAAACTTTGCAACCTAGAATTATTATGGCTTTATCGCCAATAGGGGCTCTGGTTCTACTACTAAATAAAGAAAAGATGAGGCCCCGTGCATAAAGTCCCCGTCCTAACACCAACCTGTTTATTTAGCAATCAAAAGCACTTCGAATTAACCAACCCAGCAATACGGAAACAGAAAAGTAGATTGCAAATAAGCCTAACCTCTACTAACAATCTGTGTATCTGCACGTCACTGCTATAGGAATCGTACGCTTGTTCCAAAGTCTAGTCACTGGTTATTATTACTGATGCTCATGAATTTTAAGGTCATTCTCAGTTACTCTTCAAATTTTAAAAATTCTTACTTTGTTTGTTAAACTTTAAAATTGTTATAATTTATGATAAGATAGATAATAGAAAAGAGAATAATGCAGTCACATGGTATTTCAGTTTGAATTTCTGTTAAAATAAATTAAAACTATATGGTCACACTTAACCTCTATATTTTTCCGTTTAATTTCAACAAAAACTCTTATAAAAGGGCTTAATGGGACAAATTTAAAATTCAGTGAGCAAAATAAGAATTTTTAAAATTTTGAGGATAAAATAAGAATAACTCCGAACTGAGGGTTTTGATTAGCAGAAGGGATGACTCAGCCTCCCCGGAAGAAGAGTAGCCCCACTCTCTAGCCAACTAATCCCTAGGTGAAGAAAAAAATATTCAATCATGTCAGGTTTGAGTCCGAAAATCACTTGTCGCCACCCCTCAACCGAGATTAATCCTAAAATTATTGACTACAAATCGGAGAAGAACAATATGTGAGGATAAAACAACTTCCAAAGTAATGAATACTCTCTCCTCTTAAAAGCCCTCAAAAGTCAAAATCTAGCATACAAGTGTGAATCTGCAATCTCCCTGAATTCTCGCCCCACACAAACTCTCGGTGACACTAGACCAAACGGTCTTAGGCACGGTCCAAACGATTGGACTAGAGGAAGGAGAAGCCTTTACAACTTTCAGGGTGTGTTTGGTTGGGTGGAAAGGAAACGAATAGAATGAAATGTAATTAAAATTTGATGTTTGGTTAGATTTATAAGAAATAAATAATCATTCAAAAAGATTGGTCATTCACTCATTTTAGGTGAATCATCATTCATTCCTCACATGAGAGAAATAGTCATTCTAAGTTATTTTCTTTATTTTTTTTCCATAATTACCCTTCAATATTATAATATAATTAAAATATATTATATAATAGTTATATCTCATAATATGTAATATAATATAATATAAATATAAA